GAGGGTGAGAACAGGAAAGAATTTTTTTTCTTGTTCTCTCCCTCTAAAACAAGATGCGTTCTGTACGTTCAAGGTGTGTTCACCCGAAGCCTCCGGAGCCCAGCGGGAGTTCCCGCTGGGCTCTGGAGGCTTTGGGTTCCTTTTGAACTGCTCTTTGGGGCTGGCGGGGGGAGCGCAGCTTCCCCCCCCCAGCCCCAAAGACCAGGTCGGGGAACAGCAGGAAAGCGGTGCTCCGCCTCCCCGCTGTCCCCCGAGCTTGTGGGGCTGGCGGTGGGGAGATGCAATGCTTTCCCCCACCACCAGCCTCCAAACCAGGTCGGGTTTGGAGGCTGCTATCTGCAAGCCTTGGGAGCCCGGCGCGAACTCCTGCCAGGCTCCCAAGGCTTGCGGATATCTGCCCGAAGCCCGGGGTGCGCAGCTTGCAGATAGCGAAGGCTTGCGGATAGCTTCCTGAAGCCTGGAGAGCGAGAGGGGTTGGTGCGCACCAGCCTTCAGCAAAAGCCTGCATTCGCTCCATAGGACGCACACACATTTCCCCTTCATTTTTGGAGGGGAAAAAGTGCGTCCTATAGAGCGAAAAATACGGTAATTCATCATGTTTCACTTTCCCCTCCCTCTTTAGAACAGAGGTTGGCAACCTGTGGCCGTCGAGATGTTGTTAGATTCCCAGCTCCCATCAGCACAGCCAATGTTGGGAGCTGAAGTCCAAAAATATCTGCACAGGCCACAACCAGGTTGTGTCCTGGTTCCCACCCAAAACACACAGACAGAGCCTCTTGCCTGTCACATAAGAAAGAGACCTTTGTTAAGGAAAGTAATGGCACAGGCTCGGCAATAGACACACTCAGGAGTCATGATTCAGAAATTCAGGAGCAGGGCAAGTACAGTATTTTTCGCTCCATAAGACACATTTTTTCCCTCCTAAAAAGTAAGGGGAAATGTGTGTGCATCTTATGGGGTGAATGCAAACGGGAGGCTCTGCTCAGCGCTCCCTTTAAAGAGCCGCGTGGAGCGTGTGTGCGGCTTTTGGGGGCTTTTCCCTGAGGAGGGAGAAGGGCAGCCCGTCAGTCCCTTCTCCCTCCTCGGGGAAAAGCCCCCAAGAGCTGCACATACGCTCCGTGCGCTCTTTAAAGGGAGTGCGGCTCTTGGGGGCTTTTCCCAGAAGCCAGAACAGCAAGAGGGATCACTGCGCAGCGATCCCTCTTGCTGTTCTGGCTTCTGGGATTCAGAATATTTTTTTTCTTGTTTTTCTCCTCCAAAAACTAGGTGCCTGGTGCATCTTACAGAGCGAAAAATACGGTAGTTCAGAACTGGGCAGAAGTAACCAAAGTGTCCCAACAAGTTTCTCCACGTCCCTGCCAAACTTTTAACGATGACATGGGGTGGCTCACTTGTGAGACTCTCTCCCCTTGCGGGAATGTTGGACTTACAAGTGTGAGCTCCATCGGGGTGGGGGCTGTCCCCATCTGCAAATGAGATGCCTGGTTCTGGGCAACATGACCATGCCCTCTAGTTCAGCCACTGCTGCCAGATGTTCAGTCTTTCCCCCACTCAACTGATCAAGACCTTCCCCCAGTTCTCACTGAGGTGATTAATTGAATTTATATACCGCCCTACAACTGGAGTTCTCAGGGCGGTTCACAGAAAAGATCACAATATATAAAATCAACATCAAAACAATAACCCAGTACAGTCATACCTTGGGTTACAGATGCTTCAGGTTGCGTTTTTTTGAGTTACGGACCGCCGAAACCTGGAAGTACCGGAACGGGTTACTTCCAGGTTTTGGCTGTCACGTATGCGCAGAAGCGCTAAATTGGGCTTTGAGCATGTGCAGAAGTGCCGAATCACAACCCGTGCGTGTGCAGATGCGCCGCTGCGGGTTGCGAACGCTACAGGTTGTGAATGTGCATCCCGCATGGATCACAGTTGCAACCCAAGCGTCCACTGTAACACCCCCCCCCAAAAAAGAGCCACATTTTAAAAGGGTCTAGGATGTCGATCAGGTCAACCAAAGGCCTGGTTATAAAGGAACCAGGTGTATAAAGGTGCATAATGAAGGTGCCAGGCGAACTTCCTTGGGGAGAGCATTCCACAAATGGGGAGCCACTGCATAGAAGGCCCCATTCTTGTGTTGCCACCCTCCGGACCACTCAAGGAGGATGCACACGAAGGAGGGCCTCAGAAAATGATCTCAGTGTCCAGGTAGGTTCATATGGAAAGAAGCGGTCCTTGAGGTATTGCAGTCAGGAGCCATTATCTGATCTGCAGAAGGACTGGAGGCGAGAGCTCTGCTTCCCTCTCCAAAGCAGGGAAGTCAGGGTGGAGACTTATCACTACCCTAAGGAGTCTCAAAGCGGCTAACCATCTCCTTTCCCTTCCTCCCCCACAACAAACACTGGGAGGTGAGTGGGGCTGAGAGACTTCAAAGAAGTGTGACTAACCCAAGGTCACCCAGCAGCTGCATGTGGAGGAGCAGAGACGCAAACCCGGTTCACCAGATTACGAGTCCACTGCTCTTAACCACTACACCACACTGGCTCTCACACTGGAGAGGGCAGACCACCTTTCCTCTAACCCTGATTCCTACCCTCCAGCCCCCTGCCCTCATTTCTTCCTGTTCCTCCTCCATCTGACCCCATCAATCCAAGCCCAACCCTGACGGCACTGTGGGGCTCATGAAAGGTTGCCTGCCCCTGTTTTGAAACAACAGTGTCTGAACATTACAGAGTTATGAGCAATGATAACCGCTTCCAGAATTCTGCAGTGGCTCCTGCTATTCTTACTGCCTCTTGTAGTAAGAGCACTACTTATCCGTTAGACATTCCCATTCTCTCCCTTACCTCTTAATTTGGACAAGCTTGTTAAACAAAGCTACGGAAGCTATGGCAACGTAGCTTAAACCAAAGCTCACGCACCTAGCAATGAGAAGCCTGCAAATAAGCTGCTTCCCACACCCAAGGGAAGACACTGCATTTTGTTGCATGGGGGGGGGAAGGTGGCTATAGTGACTTTATATACAACCATCAACTTTTCAAATGTCTTAGTCCATACAAGAGAGGGTAGACAGAAGATTCTGGCAAAATGGGCACTAGTCTACGAAAGCTAGGGATGTGAGTGGCGCCGTGGGTTAAACCACAGAGCCTAGGACTTGCCGATCAGAAGGCCGGCGGTTCAAATCGCCGCAACGGGGTGAGCTCCCGTTGTTCGGTCCCTGCTCCTGCCAACCTAGCAGTTCAAAAGCACGTCAAAGTGCAAGTAGATAAATAGGTACCGCTCCAGTGGGAAGGTAAACGGTGTTTCCATGCACTGCTCTGGTTCGCCAGAAGCGGCTTAGTCATGCTGGCCACATGACCCGGAAGCTGTACGCCGGCTCCCTCGGCCAATAAAGCAAGATGAGCGCCGCAACCCCAGAGTCGGCCACGACTGGACCTAATGGTCAGGGGTCCCTTTACCTTTACCTACGAAAGCTTACAGCACAGTTAATCTGGCAGCCTAAGGTGCCATTTTATGGATGTTTATAGTTGCTAGGAGAGGATATATTTATTAGATATTATCCTTCCTTCCTCATGTTTGTGAGTCCAGCAGAGTGCCATCCCTTTGCAGCTTTAAAGGGAAGCTTAGATAGGCTAGTTTTAGCCTTTGAGTTTAAGTAATCCAGGATGCTTTAAGGCAGACTGGATTCTCCTGGTGTTTCCCCCTTTCCTCCCCCTTAAAAAAATATTCACAAAAACAACCTTGTAAAAGCTAAAAGTAACATTTACCCACTCAGAATGCTCACTGATGAGTAAAAGATAATGGCAGTTTTGTTCAGGCAAGCTTAAAATGGCAATCCAGTTACAAAGACACACTTTAGTCTGGTTTGAAATGGGGTTCTGAATTGTTCTACATTGCTGGAATGAGGTGAAAGAGCAAAGAGGAAGTGCTCAGCCAGGTGAGATGATGAATGGCTACAGACAGTGGGTGTGGCTCTCGGAGTCCTCTCTAGCAAAACTTACAGGAAAACTCTGTGAGCTTCAGCTCCTATCATGTGCCTATCTAGCAATCAAGCATGCATTGTTGGTTTGATTGCTTTGTAAATATTACACAGCCTTAAGTCTCTTCGTTGTTTTCATTCACTGACTGTCCCTTCAAGGTGTGTCAGAACAGGAAAAGAAGCCCACCAAAATAAAACTTTGGCAGATAACAAAGCACCGACTGGCGATTTATTCATGGGAGAAAAGACTCAGGAAGCCACAGCTGCCCACAAGTCAACGTTCACAAATAGGCACCGAAAATTCGTTTGCTATTGGACTGGGCATGTATAAAGGATATATTTTGGTGTTAAAAGACCAATGCTGGAGGTGAGCTGCAAAGAAAAGGACACCTGGTCACCTGGGGTCAATTCAGGCTCACTCAAGGTGACCAATTTCAGACTGCACTGAGTATCTCAGAAACATTTTTCCTTTGCCTCACGTTCGCTCAAGAGCACACCTCTGCTTCATGGAAACAGAAGACGACTGCTCAGGAAGTTTGACAATGGCCTTATAACCATACCATCCACACTTCAAGGACAAGGACAGCTGCAGAGATGTTCCATGTAGCATTAGTCACTGCTAATTCTGAAGCCACCACCATCTGACCAGTTCAGAAAGCACTATATAATCTCAACATTTTCATCACAAGTTGCTCTTCTCAACTTTTTGCCTTTCACTTGCTTTGCACGCGTTGAACAATACTGCTCCCTAGAATAGGCACAATTGCGGAACAGGGGTGTTTGCATTCCATATCAGCAGTTTTCTATTTCAATAACCGAATTCTTAATTCCGAAGCACAAATACTAGAATTACCTGAATTGCTATATTTATTTTCACCCTTTGAACATCTCACTGATTGCTATTTTCTTTTCCTTTTGACAAACCGCACACTGGATGCATGGCACAACCCACAATTAGCCAAACATTTTTCTTGTGAGAGAGAGAGAGAGAGAGAGAAATGGGGGAAAAACATTTAAGACTCACACTCTGCTTCTAGAATGGCACGGACAGATTTAGTAAGTTCCTTAGCTTCTGCTGCAAGAGATGCTGGCAGAGTGCGTCCATTCCGTCCCAGGCGTGCGATGAGTGTTTTAGAGGAGAATGTGGCTTTGCTGTCACTGAAGGAGACACACACAAAATGGCCATGTTATAGTTGCAACACTGCAGCATTCTTGCACATGGCATTGAGTGCACGCTCATTTTCAGCTATAACTATGCTGCAACGGAAGTCAAGAGAGTGAGTTAGAAGAACGCACTGTTCTGAGCCTCCAACATAGCTTTCTATTTTTACCTAGGAAAGTGCTAATGGTGTGTGTGTGTGTGTGTGTGTGTGTGTGAGAAGGCCAAACCACCCAGTATGAGTACTGAAGGGCAGGCTTTACATCACTGCATCACTGTCATCAAGCACAGTGCTTTACTATTTTCCATGTGTCAGTGAATGGCAGCAATTATATGGAAGTACGCTCCCAGTACGCTTCTGAGCACAATTCAAAGTGTTAGCCCAGAATACCTGAAGGAGAGTCTCCACCCCAGTGGTTCAGCCCAGACATTGAGGTCCACCTCCAAGGGCCTTCTGGCAGTTCCCTCACTGCGAGAAGTGAAGTTACAGGCATAGGGCCTTCTCGGTAGTGGTGCCCTCCCTGTGGAACGCCCTCCCATCAGTCGTCAAGGAGATAAAGAACGACACAACTTTTAGAAGATATCTGAAGGCAGCCCTGTATAGGGAAGTTTTCAATGTTTGACATTTCATTATGTTTCTATATGTGATGGAAGCCACACAGAATGTGATGGAACCCAGGCAGATCATTGGGATATAATAACAATAGCAATAATAAAGAAAGCAAAGAGACATTGATTCCTTCCATCGGACTACACAAATACATTCTGGTCCTTTGGAATGGGCCCCTAGAAGCGCTCACTCTTGGCTGAATCCCTTCCAACTGGCATTTGGAGTTGTAATGAGTTTCTATGGCCATTCGGTATTTGGCGGCCATTCTTTTGGGTATGTCCTGAACACAAACAGGGAGGGCAGCTAAATCCAATGAACCCTGGCTTTAAAGCCTTCTGGTTGGTGTGCTTTTTTTTGGGGGGGGGAGAGGGGGAGAAAAAGGGCCACAGCCCGGTGGCATGAACATGCTTTGCATCCCAAGGGCCACAGGTCCATTCATTGCAAATTTATTCATTTATGTTATTCCGCGATTCAGATGTCTGCTCCAAAAGCGGCTTGCATCAATTTAAAGCATGAGAAAGGAGGGGAGGTGGGGGCACCCTGCAATCTGACTTTACAAAGCCGCACATGAGTTGGGAAGTTGTGAGAGACCCTAGTGGTGCAGGATGTCCTTCAACTTCCCTGGAAGACTTGCCCTGGCAACCATCTTTGGACATCCCTCATTTCCTTGAAGTCTCAACATGGGAAGAACCCATGATGCCAGCGCCCCTCCAGCCGGAAGAGGTCATATTGCCTTCCTTCAGACTCCAGCTCAGAGCTCATAGCAAAACCTGGCTGCCACCATACCACCGCTCCTAAACCTGGCAGGGCTCCTTTAAGAGTAGAGGATCCACTCAACAAGAGGGGCCTAGCTGCTAAGCAGAAGCTGCTGTCCCGCTTAAGCCTCAGGCTGGTTTGATTGGTTTTTTGAGCGACAGTCAAGCAACTTGCCAAAGCAACATTGGGAGCTCTCCAGGGTGCTACCTGCCCTGCTGATCTTTTGGGCATGGACTTCTGCTTTGCCTCACCTTCCTTTGACATGGTCTCAATTCTGCTAGGCTTGACTTGCTGAAGAAATGAACCTATGCTGCCAATTCTCGTAGTAGACCAGTATAAACTAAACAGCACATAAGCGGCACACAAAACACTACCAAACCATTCTATGTTCTAAATCTTATACTAATAATCCAAAAATTGAGAGAGCTATGTACAAGATCTAGTAAATGAATAAATGCTTAAGTCAAGAAAGAACTTAGCATATGAAGTTGAATGTTTATAAATATATCAAAACCATGAGAGACATTTTACTGAAGAAGCCGGAGACTCTTCATGGGCGAAACAGGTGACAAACGCCAGCACCCTGTCTAACTCTTGTGCGTAACATCACCGACACTTCGTTTGATCAAACTTATCCTCGTTGATATCTAACCCTTGAGCACAACATCGCCAACACTTCGTTTGATCAAACTTACCTTTGTTGATATCTACAGGAGCCTGGCTAAAGGAACTTTAAAGACTGAATCTTCCTTTTGGACACAATTTGAATGAGTTTTCTGTTTGTGGCTTCTGTAGTAGATCTTGTACATAGCTCTCTCAATTTTTGGATCATTAATATAAGATTTAGAACGTAGAATGGTTTGGTAGCGTTTTGTGTGCCGCTTATGTGCTGCTTACTTTATACTGGTCTAGGCTTGACTTACTGCAGTGTTTCCCAACCTTTTTTGGGCAAAGGCACACTTGTTTGATGAAAAAAATCTCGAGGCACACCACCATTACAGCCCCGTGACGTCAGCGCGCAGCGTCGCGCCGGGAGGGACGCACGAAAGTGTAAGTTTCAATTTTTTTCCCTCCCCTCCTGTGTAAAGGGGAATGCACTCTGCTAAGTAAAGGCACTTGCCACAGCAGCGTCAACGTCACAGCACCCACCGGCACCCAAGAGAGAAGGGGTCTCAGCAGCCCTTTTGCCAGGAAGAGGAGCAAGAACGAGAGGAGGAGGAGGAAGAGGAAGAGAGTCCCCCCCAAAAAAACATTCTCCTTTTGATCTTCCTTATTTGCAATTTCTCATTGCAAAACAGCGGTTGATATAGAGCTGATTTTTTTGTTATTACAGTCCCCACCCCCTCACCTAGAAAAACACCCCCTGTCAATTTTATTATTATTATCATTATTATTATTATTATTCCCCGCCACTCTGGGAGGCTGAAGCCCTTTAAGGCTTCCTTCTGTCCACTCTCTGTGAATTACCTGCCCGGAGCGGGTTTCTGGGGGGGGGCGCTGCTGCCGGTGTCCTCCCCGTCGAGTCTTGCCTTGCCCGGCCGCCCTTTCCCACACTCTGCCGGCTGCGCTGCCAAGCCCCGCGGCTCGGCCTGTCAGCGTTACCGGGCTCGGCGGGCGGTAATTCCCGAAGAAAGCCGGCGGCGCTTGAAGAGCTGGCAAGCCCCCATTTGCATGTCTGTTTTCCGCAGCCCTTGGAGAGGATTAAGTTCCCTCCTTCCTGCCGGGGAACCTCCAAGCTTTGGGGGTGGGGGGGGAGGAGGCAGCAAAGCGAGGCAGGAAGGAGAGCGCGGCTTGGCTGGGTGAGCTTTGGCAGGGGCAGGGAATGAGAGCCGCGAGGCGGGCGCTGCGGGCGGAAGCGCTGCCCGCCGAGCTCGCAGGCAGCCAGGCAGGCAGACGGCAAGAGCCCCGCGCTGGGCGGCCTCTCCTCGCCGCCGCCGCCCCGCCTCTCGCCGCCCGACTCGCCCGCCTCCCTCCCACGGAGGTAGGCTGGTGTGCCGTGGGAGGGAGGCGGGCGAGTCGGGCGGCGAGCACACGCGGGGCGGCGAGCGAGCTCCCTCCCACATCCCATCGCTGCTCGCTTCGGCCGGCCTACTGGGCTGTCGCAGGCGGAAGGCCTGCGCATGCGCGAGGTTTTCGCGCCTTCCTCCAGTCGGCCGGCCGAAGCGAGCGGCGATGGGATGTGGGAGGGAGCTCGCTCGCCGCCCCGCGCGTGCTCGCCGCCCCGCCTCTCGCCGCCCGACTCGCCCGCCTCCCTCCCACGGAACACAAGGCAACGTTCCGCGGCACACTAGTGTGCCGCGGAACACCGGTTGGGAAACACTGACTTACTGGCTACAAAACTGGGGCTATTGACTTGGGGTTCCTGTCATCTATGCTTAGCAGCTCCACACTCCATTTGTCCACTGGCTGGAGCACTGCCTGGAATGGAACAAAGAACTGGACTAGATTGCCTGCAAGCATTCCTCCAACTCTTAGGTTTCTATTAATACGTGGTGAGTGGTCATTAATGGGTTTTTTAAACCCCAAACTGGTGGCTTTATTTGTAATTCCAACATTCCTGAAAAGGAACAGGTGTTAGCTCAGGCACCCCAACCTGCGGCCCTCCAGATGTTTTGGGACTACAACTCCCATGATCCCTAGCTAACAGGACCAGTGGTCAGGGATGATGGGAATTGTAGTCTAAAACATCTGGAGGCCCGAAGGTTGGGGATGCCTGTGTTAGCTGGACTCAAAACTGAGAACTGGGGTCAAGCACCTCCTCTACTACAGCCTCAGTAGTGCGGCTGTGGGCAAGTCACTGTTTCCCAGCCTCATTTTACTCTGGGTTTTAAAAAAAGCACGACTAATTGTCCTGCCACACAGGACATTCTTAGTATTAACACAATAAAGATGATAAAAGTCCTGCAAACTGAAAGCGCTACAAGAGGTGACTAGCAGAAATAGTAATTGTAAGATTCAGGAAGTGTTTCAGTATGTATTTATATTTATTTATAAATATTTATTACGTACTTAGGATAATTTCACTAAACAAGCTGCAGTGGCCCATACCAATCTTAGGTTTTCTCACCTTAAATTGGTCAATGAAGTAGAGGTATCCAACAGCACTTCCGGCAAAACCTGTTGGCAGATAGTCAAGAAATACGGTTTCAGAAAGCTTGCTATAGCATCATCTTTTTCTCTGCTTAATAGGTTGCTAAACGTGAAACATCGAGACTTGTGTACCTTGCACTTAAGATGACCTTTGCCCTATTGGATGAAATTCACATCTGACTTGAATTGGTAGCAAAGTTGTTGTTCATCCTAATGGTTGCTGGATTTTCAAGTTGCCTTCTTGAAGATGGGTAGCCTGATCCTACAAGGGCCTGGAAGAGTTGCTGCTGCATCAACACAAGCTAGGCGGCATTCAGCTTCTAGCTGACATTCTCTGCCCACATCACATTATACTTGTGGCTTGAATCTAAACCAGTGGCGAGCAGATTTCTGGCTTGTTGGATCTACCGTATTTTTCGCTCTATAGGATGCACCTTGTTTTAGAGGGGGAGAACAAGAAAAAAAAATCTCCCCCTCTCTGCTCAGTGCCCCTTCAGCGAAGCGGCAGGAGAAACGGAGCCCCTTCCATTTCTCCTCCCACTTCGCTGAAGGGGTGCTGCGCAGCTCTCCCTCTCTGCTGAAGCCAGGAGAGTCTTGCTCTCCCGGCTTTAGCAAAAGGAACCCGAAGCCTTCAGAGCGCAGCGCGAGTTCCCGCTGTGCTCCAAAGGCTTCAGGCGGCTATCCCTGAAGCCTGGAGATCGAGAGGGGTCGGTGCGCACTGACCCCTCTCACTCTCCAGGCTTCAGTGAAAGCAACGCGTAGCCTCCGGAGCATGGAGGGAGCGCTCCCTCTGTGCTTCGGAGGATTTGCATTGCTATCGCTGAAGCCAAGGAGCCTGCATTCGCTCCATAGGACGCACACACATTTCCCCTTAATTTTTGGAGGGGGAAAAATGCGTCCTATAGAGCGAAAAATACGGTACTTTTCTTTTCTTTATTGCTAGAAACCCAAGGGCTTCATGTCAGAGTCAGGTGCAAAAGGCATATAATTCAATAATTTTGCTCCTTGGTGCACATCCTTCAGCTGGCTTTCAGTATCAGAGCTGGACTGAGCGTCATCTCACACAAGAGTCCACTCATTGTATTTATTTGTTTCAACAGCCAAATTCGGCTGGGGAAAAGTCATTTGGTTTCTTTTGTTAAATAGCTGGGAGATGGAGCCGCTGAAAGCAACCCAGAGATCTACTAGTAGATTTTGCTTTGAAATCTTTAATGTAATTAAGTAACTTTTAAACACACCACACTACCTATGTTTATGTTCTGGCTGTCCTTCAATAAAGCCCTCCTTTGCTCACCACAAAATTTCTGGCTACAGATTTACTACTTCTAAAGAGGCCCTGCCGCAGCAGTTTGTTTTAAATCTGGACTTTGCAAACCACAGATGATGAATTCGTTCTTGACTTTTATTGTGTTTGGCTCCAACTGTCAGATCTGAGGTACGAAAAAAAACAAAACCGCACACCCAACAAAAAATGAATATAAATCAGCACGCCTTGCTCCTTTCAGGAGAAGGAAGTTGCCAAAAGCGCCTTTACCTCAACAAACTGCAGCAGCTTTTCAGTTGCCACCTCAAACATCTTCTTGGCAGTTTCGGATTTTCTCAGCTGGCAATCGAGCACTGTAATCCTCTTCCTTAAATCTTGGATGCTGTCCTGAGGAACAAGAAATTCAGGTAGGCCACCAAACCAGACGCACAGGAAGCGAGGTGTCGAGGAAAGGCCAGGAAAACTTTACACTAAGTCGGTGCCCAAGAGATGTTTTGGACTATAATTCCCAGCTAGCATAGTTAGAAGCATGTTATAGTTCTAAACATCTGGAGAGAACCAGTTTGGCAAAGTCTACTCTACAAGAATGAGTAGATGGTGGACTCCTTGTATCAAGATCTGGTCCAAATCGCAGGTACAGTACAAAGGGTGCATGTGTTTTTAGGTTTGTGAGGGGACAAATGGGCTTGAAGTCTTTCAGGCCACTGGAAGAGAACATCAAAAGAGTAAATCACAATGTAATAAAGGAATGCTGAATGGTTTGGGTTCCGGACCTAGCATATAGAATAAGAGAACAAGAAGAACATATGTTTAAAGAAGACTGGAAAATGCTTATTGATTATATTGGGGGGGGGGGAATTGGGTACACATGAAAACCCTGGCAGCATTAAGCTAAATTCAACAGTGTGAACAAGTTTTGGTGGATGAAATAATGGAATACCGAATGGTTTAGTTTATGTAAAATACGCAGGGATATATGATTTGAAAAATGGACCATGGAAAGAGAAGAAGGGAAGCCATGGATATTTTAAGGTTGTTTAAATCAATATTTTGAATTGTAAAACAGAAAATCTAATGAAAATTATACACAATAAATAAATAAATAAAAATCTGAAGTGGAAAAAAGAGAGTAAATCACGTGCCCTTAATGAGACCCAATTATTATCTCACAACTAACAAAATGCCTAAGACAGGCGGAAGGGAGAGGAAAAGGGGTCTGCACAGGACGGGGATGCCAGAGGTCATACTCTCTGTCAGGCATCCCCTAACTTGGCCCTCCAGCTGCTTTGGGACTACAATTCCCATCATCCCTGACCGCTGGTCCTGTTAGTTAGGGATGATGGGAGTTGTAGTCCCAAAGCATCTGGAGGGCTGAGTTTGGAGATCCCTGCCTGTGTCAACGACCTATGAACCAGTTAGTCACCCTGATGTAGTCCATATTGCAAACGTTATAAATTTCCACACCTTTGGCTGCAGCTGGTGGGGAAAAGGAAAAGGCAGATAATGGCACATTAAGGATGTGAAGAAATGGATATCACGATACTGCTTTTGGTGGCATGCAGCAGTAACGTGTGTCGTTTCTCCCTGAAATTATGTATTACATGACAATACAGCAGCTGCATTTCCACTTTATATAATTTCCACTTCTTCCTCTTAAAAAAAATAAAAAGCCACAGGGCACACAACAAAGGGATGTAAGAAATCATGGTTTGATGGATGTAATAATGGAGGTGCAGTTTTCTGCTCCTCTGAACAGAAGCAGAAAGATATATATTTTTTACAAATAAATTTTACCTTTATTCCACGCATTATGTCAAATCTTTTATCAATGAAGCCACACACAGGGAAATTACTGTGACCTCAGAGAAAGTCAGCACAATGCAGGGGGTGATTAAAGGTGACTCATTCTCCCCAAACCTGTGCTATTTTAGCCACAGAGACTCTTTGCAGATGTGGAGTGAATATTTCCGAATTAATATTGATCGCCTCCATCTTGCCTTCTGCACCCAGTGTGTCAGAGGTGCATACGCTATACAGCAAGACAGGCTAGTTCACAAATCAGATACCCCCTGTGAAACCTTCTCAGGAGAAAGTAAGACGATTCTTGGGCACATATGGCAGCGCTAGTTTGTGTGAACACAGCATCTAGGAGCCCTTTCCCTCTCTTCCCACCCTTCAGCCCCACCTTTGAAGGTGACTTGGAAACTTCCAACTCATCCAGAATGCGGGAGCTAGGCTGGTGACTAGTAGCAGCCACTGGGACCATATAACACTGGTCCTAAAAAACCCTGAAGGACCAGGTATGCAGCCTGGGAGTCAATTTGGACTCACAGCTGTCCATGGAGATGTAGGTCAATTCTGTGTCCAGGGCAGCTGTCTACCAGCTCCATCTGGTACGCAGGCTGAGACCCTATCAGCCTGCAGACTGTCTCGCCAGAGTGGTGCATGCTCTAGTTAACTCCTGCTTGGACTACTGCAATGTGCTCTACGTGGGGCTACCTTTGAAGGTCACCCAGAAACTACAACTAATCTAGAATGCGGCAGCTAGACTGGTGACTGGGAGTGGCCACTGGGACCATGTAACACAGGTCCTGAAAGACCTACACTGGCTCCCAGTATGTTTCTGAGCACAATACAAAGTGTTGCTGTTGACCTTTAAAGCCCTAAATGGCCTCAGCTCAGTATACCTGAAGGAGAGTCTCCACTTTCATTGTCCAGCCTGGACACTGAGCTCCAGCTCCAAGGGCCTTCTGCAGGGAACCAGGCAGGGGGCCTTCTCAGTAGTGGCACCCACCCTGTGGAACACCTTCCCGTCAGATGTCAAGGAGATAAAGAACTACACAGCTTTTAGAAGACATCTGAAGGCAGTCCTATTCAGGGAAGTTTTTAATGGTTGTTTTATTATGTTTTAAATATTTTCTTGGGAGCTGCCTAGAGTGGCTGGGACAACCCAGTCAAATAGGCAGCATATAAATAATAATGTTGTTTTTGTTCATTTAAACAGAGCTCCTCAGAATTACAAATAAATGAACTGCCTCGCCACTGTAATGGACAGAGTTTGCTTTTCCTCGTACTGGTCCATTCACTAACTTCTAAAGATAGGGCCTCAGCTGAGAGTGGAGATATAACCTGTCCCTAGATGCTGTTCCAAGCCACTGGCATTGATTTAGAAGTGGACAGCTCCCGCAGATTTCGGGGGGGGGGGAGTTAATAAGGCACCCTTAATGACAGGAATTAAAGAACCTTTTAATGAGGGTGAAAGAGGAGAGCGCAAAATATGATCTGAAGCTTAACATCAAAAAAACGAAGATCATGGCCACTGGTCCCATCACCTCCTGGCAAATAGAAGGGGAAGAAATGGAGGCAGTGAGAGATTTTACTTTCTTGGGTTCCATGATTACTGCAGATGGTGACAGCAGCCACGAAATTAAAAGACGCCTGCTTCTTGGGAGAAAAGCAATGGCAAACCTAGACAGCATCTTAAAAAGCAGAGACATCACCTTGCCAACAAAGGTCCGTATAGTTAAAGCTATGGTTTTCCCAGTAGTGATGTATGGAAGTGAGAGCTGGACCATAAAGAAGGCTGATCGCCAAAGAATTGATGCTTTTGAATTATGGTGCTGGAGGAGACTCTTGAGAGTCCGATGGACTGCAAGAAGATCAAACCTATCCATTCTTAAGGAAATAAGCCCTGATTGCTCACTGGAAGGACAGATCCTGAAGTTGAGGCTCCAATACTTTGGCCACCTCATGAGAAGAGAAGACTCCCTGGAAAAGACCCTGATGTTGGGAAAGATGGAGGGCACAAGGAGAAGGGGACGACAGAGGACAAGATGGTTGGACAGTGTTCTCGAAGCTACCAGCATGAGTTTGACCAAACTGTGGGAGGCAGTGGAAGACAGGAGTGCCTGGCGTGCTCTGGTCCATAGGGTCACGAAGAGTCGGACATGACTAAACGACTAAACAACAACAACAACATGAGGACATGTGTCCTTCCAGATATTGCTGGACTCCCATTAGCTCAAGCAACCCTGGTCAGGGCATCGGTCCAGGAACATCAGGAGAGCCACAGATTCATCATCTAGTGGGCATTTACATGGGTGAACACGCCAGAACTTCTGCATCATCTCAATTGTGGCATTTCCTAGCGGAGTCTGTTCTGGCCATAGCAGAGGGCCCGTGACCTTGGTTCTTTATTCAGAATGATTTACTGCAAGGGAAAGCGGGCATATTTGTGGTACCTGCTCACGCTTTGAAAGCTGGCAGCTAAAGGCTACTGGGTTCAAAATACAGGACATAAAGGTATCCATATCTTTCAGAGTTATATAAATGGGAATTGATAGTTATGTGTCTTCCAGCTATGTGCGGATCTTTCAGGATATGGAAAGACCACTGGATACAGCAAATCTATTATTATGAACCTGCACCTACACTAACCTAAATGAAAAGGCGGAAAAGAATGCTGGTTCCATACAGTAGTTGATGGTGCCTGATGGTGCCAATTCTTGTATATGTCTTACAGAGTTCATTCAGGCTCAGTGGTGCTGCCTTGTATTAACTTGCGCTTCCCTTGCTGGGCTCTGTTGAAAACAGTTTCTCCATGAGAACCAAAAAGTGACCTCTCCAAACAACGGAATGGCTATTCATTTCTTATTTCTGCAGCCAGGATCTCCTGGGTGACACAGACACCGTCAGGCAATTTAACACGCATGCGTACTCTGTCTGCTTCCCTCCCCCCCATTCCTTCTGCACGGCCCTGGCAACCCACGCTACACCACTGTTCAGGCTCACTCCATTAAGTGGCTATGGGATTGCAGCCTTGGTTTTCCATGTCTTGGAACACGCTCTTAAACTGAAATATTGTTCTATATTTATTATTTTGTATTTATTTATACCCCACCTTTTCCCCTGACAGAGACTCAAGGTGGCTTACAGATAACAACAGCTAAGAACATAGAAAAATAATCATTATAAAACCATTAAACACTGATAGAATAACTTAACTCTTAAACTATAACGCTTTTATGCAACATATTAGTTAATAGGGAAACAAATGTGAAATCCCAGCAAGTTGTGGGCTCCACAATAATTAACCTTGAGCTGCGCCACATTGGCCAGCGACCACCCAAGCAAGGTCGTGGCTCAAGTTTTCCCCGACTAAAAAGAGTTCTCCGAAGAAAAGCGAGTTCATAGCTTTCGTTTCGCCCTCCCTCTTCTGCCTCCACAACACAATCTATTGAATAATACAAGACAAACAGTGACCTACTTTAGGAGAACAAAAGGAAGAAAAATGAAAGACGGGATACATGACAACAGCGAGGAAAAACCATGGCAACTCTCCGAGGTGCTTACTTTATTTTGACCACAATGATCGCTGAGCTGAGCCCTCAGATCAGCAATTTCGACCTCAAGCAGGTGGATTACTTCCTCGTAGTCCAATTCCATGCCGCTAGCTTGCTTTTGCGCAGCTTCTGCAAGATGGATTCTGCTACGCAGGCCTCTCGCCTCCTCCACCGATGCCTTGGCTTCCTGTAGGGGGGAAACCCCCAAATATTAAAAAACCCCACAAACTTTATGGGGTGGGGGGAATGAAGCAAAACTGTTTCTGAAGATGCAATTAAAAACGAATCTCTACTGAGAGCCAGTGTGGTGTGGTGGTTAAGAGCGGTATACTCGTAATCTGGGGAACCGGGTTCACGGCTCTTCCACATGCAGCTGCTGGGTGACCTTGGGCTAGTCACACTTCTGTGAAGTCTCTCAGCCCCACTCACCTCACAGAGTGTTTGTTGTGGGGGAGGAAGGGAGAAGGAGAACGTTAGCCGCTTTGAGACTCCTTCGGGTAGTGATAAAGCGGGATATCAAATCCAAACTCCTCTTCTTCTTTAATAAATAGAAGGGTTTGGGATTTTTTTAGCCAACGTCTCCTGTTGTTAGCCTCTGGCTCCCATCAGCCCCAGTTTGTGTGGCCAGGGATACAGGGAGGTGTAGTGCAGCAGTGTTGGCCACCCATGATCTAATCAGCCTTGAAAAGCAGCTGGCAAGTCCCTTACGCATGGGATATTGCAATGCTGAAAACTGCATTGGCGGAAAGCGTGCCATTGGGCTCACCCTTTGAAAACATGCGTGGGCAGAAACATGAATCAGCCAGATGCTGGCACATCTAGCCATGCTTTTGTTACGCCCTTTGGCTTCAACCTTGCTCCCCAGCCACTTGCCTGGTGAAAAAAAAGGAGGGAAGGCCTGCCTGAGTTTCAGAAACATTCCTGTTTACACCTGGCATGACTGCACAACGCTCCAGGAATTCTCAGCAAGAACCTACAGGCTTGACCCAAAAATATCACAAGCAAGCCCCACTTGTGGTATTTATTGAAAATCAGAAGCAACAGCAACATGCGAATTCGGAACTGAGGATTTTTCAGGATCTTGTTTCAAGGAAAAACCTAAAGTTGGAGTTTTTTTTAAGATCTCATAAACAGAATTGGACTTGTAAAAGGGTAAAAGAGTATTGGGAAATGATCCATAATGAATAGAAAAAAATGTTTTAAAGTACCTTTCCAAAAACCCCCGAGTCCTTTCTGTTGGGGATAATTCAGAAGGATATTCCCAGGTGTCAAAAAATGTTATTTATGTATGCCCCTACTGCGGCCCATGTTTCGTTAGCCCCAAAATGGAAAATGAGCGAGGTCCCAACCAAACAGGAATGGAATATGCACAGCTTGCAGACTTAACACAGAATAAGAGAACAAGAAGCACATATGTTTAAAGAAGATTGGAAAATGTTTATTGCATATATGGGAAATAACTGTGCACAGCTGAAAACACTGGCAGCATTAAGATAACGTCAACAATGCAAATAAGTTTTGATGGTTGTAATAATGGAATATTGAATGGTTTAGTTTTTGTAAAATATGCAGGGATTTATGGTATGTAAAATGAATCATGGAAAGAAGAAGGGAAGTCACTGATATCTTAAGGATGTATAAAGGAGTACATTAAATTGTAAAACAGAAAAATTAATTAAAAATTATATAGATATAATCAGGAGCAGCAGCAACATGTGAATTTGCAACTGAGGATTTTTCAGGATCTTGTTTCAAGGGCAATTTAAAAAAAATAATAATATTTTTTTGAAGATCTCATAAAGAGAATAAACCAACAGAGCATTACTGGTGTAGCATGGGAGTATAGATAAAGGTAAATTTAAAGGGACCCCTGACCATTAGGTCCAGTCGTGGCCGACTCTGGGGTTGCGGCATTCATCTCGCTTTATTGGCCGAGGGAGCCGGCGTACAGCCAGAGGCAGAGCACGGAAACACCGTTTACCTTCCCACCGGAGCGGTACCTATTTATCTACTTGCACTTTGACGTGCCTTCGAACTGCTAAGTTGGCAGGAGCAGGGACTGAGCAATGGGAGCTCACCCCGTCGCGGGGATTTGAACCGCCAAGCTTCTGATCAGCAAGCCCTAGGCTCTGTGGTTTAACCCACAGCGCCACCCGCGTCCCGGCAGTAGAGATACCATAGCATAATAGGAGGTAAGCAGCACGACAGCTCAGAGTTAAGAAGACATGGATGGTGGGTGTGGGGGAACAGGGTTTCCAGATTCAGAAAAGGAAGACAAAGCTTAGACCTCTCACAGCAGGATGAATGGGAGGGTCTCATGCTGCTATTGAAAAGTATAGGGACCCTCCCCTCTGCTGCATTTCGATATCCCAAAGAAAAGCAAGTGGAAAGATGTTGATGCATGGTGAAAAACATGCAAATTGAAATCAAAATACAGTGGTATCTCAGGTTAAGTACTTAATTCTTTTTATGTGTGTTTATACCATGCAGAAAAATATGAGGGCGACTGACTCTCACTGATGACATTTTAGAAGGCAAAGCACGGTTTAACAACCAGCCATAAAATTGTGCAGGGTGGGAAAGGAAACTTCCCTTTTATCCAGAGTAGAGCTGAATTGAAATGAATGTTTACACCGTTGGTTATCATTTTATCAGAAGACCAAGATGGCTGTGAGTGCCTGGCCTGAAACAGGACTGGTTATATTGAGGAGAAGGCATTCTCTTAGCCTAAGCCACCTATAGGCCTATTTTTTCAGAGACAGAGATATATTCTGATTGACCACTGTCCCAAACCCACCAAGATCAATGCGCACAAAGGCCATACCTTCCAACATTTCTCTGATGAAAATAAGGGTGTCCTATATAACAACAATAACACTGTTTATACCCTACCCAGCTGACTGGGTTGTCCCAGCCACTCTGGGCAGCTTCCAGCATATATTAATAAAACATTAAACATTAAAAAAACTTCCCTATACAGTACCTCGGGTTAAGTACTTAATTCGTTCCAGAGGTCCGTACTTAACCTGAAAATGTTCTTAACCTGAAGCACCACTTTAGCTAATGGGGCCTTTTGCGGCTGCCGCGCCGCTGGAGCCCGATTTCTGTTCTCATCCTGAAGCAAAGTTCTTAACCTGAGGTACTATTTCTGGGTTAGCAGAGTCTGTAACCTGAAGCCTATGTAACCTGAAGCGTATGTAACCCGAGGTACCACTGTATGGTCCTGTCAGGCAGATTGTGTTAAAGCTGGAAGTGAAAACGTCGAGGACTGCTGACACACTGAAACTGGCAAGTCCTGCTCTGGTCAATGAACTGGCCCTGCCAAGTCATTGAGAGAAAATACGAAATTACAGGAACCACAGCTCTATGCAGCAGCTAGGGAAACACTGAACTGAGAACCGCAAGGATGAAAAGTGCTAAATCACGGTTGCCACTGTCACATCGCTGGTGCCCTCCTGGAAGAAAAAGGAAAATTCCGCAACAACTCTGACTTGGCGGACGGTTTCACTTACTTGTTTGGCAGTTTGCAGCTCTTTGGCCAGCTGTTTTCTCCTACGTTCGGACTCGGCCAACTCTTCCTGTCAATGCAAAAGAGAGAAGCGTTAGTTAAGCAGTAAGAATTCCAAGGCTCTTTGAATGAAGGAAATCCGAATGTCATCATGAGCGTCACTTGTTGCTACAATGAACTCCACAAGCAGCTGCCAGCCAACGATTTGAGTTGAACAGGCATTCCCTTATAGAGTTCATTCACAGAGTTCAGTCTGGTGTGCAGACTCATTTTATACAAGAATATCCTCTGTGTTGCCTCTTCTTTCTCAATAAACTGGATGCACCTTTCTCTCTCTCCATTGGTTTATAGGTAAGTGATCTTGTAGGATCTCACAGAGTTCCTTGGCAATCTCTCTTTAAAACATTTCCTTATCTTAGCCACTCTGAACACCTTTTTTTGCCATTATTTCTGACTGTGCGATTTGGTTGAGATTCGAAGAATGTACAGAACACTCCCCCCAAAAAATCATATACTGGCAGATTTTGTAGCCGCCCCTCCCCAAAACAGCTATTTAACCCTATTACGTTTTAACCCAAAACTGCTCAGGAGTTTTACTTTTAAGGAAAAGCAGCATTTCTCTCTATATTTCTATCTCATTTGAAGTATCAGAAATAAAGAACTTCTACTGGTCTGTCTCTTAACAGACAGATCTTTAGAAAACAGATTTGCTCCTTTGTTCGTCGCAGACTGCTGACTCATACTACTAGAGCATATTTGAGCCAAATCTCTGAAGTTCTACTGAGTTTGCACTGAGTTTAGTGCCAGTTTAAAGTATTGCAGATCAATATTTATTACAGAAGGAGGGGGCAAGACAATAATCCTACCACTAGCTACCTTAAAGACAACTAAGAGTGGTTGAGTTATCAGAAGTTTATGCTGTTTTGATTATTTACTTGTTATTAAAGTAAGGGGACCCCTGACATAGTTCTAGTTGCGACCAATCTGGCGTGCGGCGCTCATCTCGCTTATTGGCCGAGGGAGCCTTGCGTACAGCTTCCGGGTCATGTGTCAGCATGACTAAGCCGCTTCTGGCGAACCAGAGCAGCGCATGGAAACGCCGTTTTAGCTTCCTGCTGGAGCGGTACCTATTTTACCTACTTGCACTTTGACGTGCTTTTGAACTGCTAGGTTGGCAGGAGCAGGGGACCGAGCAACGGGAGCTCACTCCGTCACGGGGATTCGAACCAACTGACCTTCTGATTGGCAAGTCCTAAGCTCTGTGGTTTAACCCACAGTGCCACCCGCATCCCTACAAAGCACTTTGTGAGGTGAGTGAGGCTGAGAGACTTCAGAGAAGTGTGACTGTCCCAAGGTCACCCAGCAGCTGCATGTGGAGGAGCGGAGACACGAACCCGGTTCACCAGATTACGAGTCTACCTATTGAACTTCAATGTCTAAAATCCCTGGTAGAGGACAAGGATCCTGAGATCACGTTAAGGGTAGCCAAATTCTGTGCGATTGCCATAAAACTTAGAGAACAAGCTGTGCTATCATAATGATTAAGGTGTTAAATGATAATTTTAGGTTATATGTTAGTGACTAAGTTTTAATTTATACATTTTTAACTGTTGCTACATATGTATTGTCCCTGTTATACCTAATTGCAAATTCAAATGCATCCTATCGTGTTTTATGACTTCCTTGATATTGTATGTGGGCTGGAACTGGTCTGTGACCGAAATAATAAAATTCATTCATTCATTCAGCTCCGGCACCAATCAGATGGGTGCCATTGCCATTATAAGAGAACAAGGGAAGCGTTCAAGGTGAGCTCCAGCATCTCTTTCTCTAGGAAAAAAAAATAGCAATGGCAGGCATATAAAAGCTGAGATGACAAGAAGAAGGAATGGTTTTGGAGAGCAATAGTAGGAGCTCACATTCTACCACAAAGGCTAACGTTTTAAATCCCAAAGAGACAAATCAATGTGTCAGTTAATTGCAGCAAGCTATTATCATATGACGGCTTGTCTGTAGACCAAAGGCAACACAGCAGCAGCTTCATTCACCCCCTTCCCTCTCACATTTCAATGGGCATGTAACAATACTACAGCATGTTATGGAATCTTCAACAAGAGTGACCCACTACCCTAATTTTACAGGCAGTCGTCATCAGAAGGAAGTAATTATGCACACACAGAGACAGAAAGACGGGGGGGGGGGGAGAGAGACCTTGGTCCTGACCGCTCCTAGCTGCACCACCCACCCACCCCAGATTGTGACTTCATTCTGAGGGTTGACTGCAAGACCACCAATTCCAGGTGCTACAACAGGGTAGGGCTGGGAAATATATCATCGAAAACTTGTCTGAAGTCCATAGCGTGATCTCGGTTTCATAGTTTTTGACCTGGCAATATACAGTGGTACCTCGGGTTACAGACGCTTCAGGTTACAGGCTCCACTAACGCAGAAAACGTGGGTGGCGCTGTGGGTTAAACCACAGAGCCTAGGACTTGCCGATCAGAAGGTCGGCGGTTCAAATCCCCACGACGGGGTGAGCTCCTGTTGTTCGGTCCCTGCTCCTGCCAACCTAGCAGTTCGAAAGCACGTCAAAGTGCAAGTAGATAAATAGGTGGGAAGGTAAACGGCATTTCCGTGCGCTGCTCTGGTTTGCCAGAAGCGGCTTAGTCATGCTGGCCACATGACCCGGAAGCTGTACGCTTGATCCCTTGGCCAATAAAGCGAGATGAGCGCCGCAACCCCAGAGTCGGCCATGACTGGACCTAATGGTCAGGGGTCCCTTTACCTTTAACCCAGAAAAAGTACCTCGGGTTAAGAGCTTTGCTTCAGGATGAGAACAGAAATTGTGCGGTGGAACCTCAGTTTAAGAACAGTTTCAGGTTAAGAACAGACCTCCAGAACGAACTAAGTTCTTAACCCGAGGTACCACTGTATTGCGAATCATGATGTGTCTGTCTGTGCTAAGCAAAAATCACAATGTGGGGGAAACCATGAAGTCAGCCAACGCCTCTGCATAGCTCCATCCTTATTTCAGACATTGTGATTTATCAGTAGATCGCAATGTTTAGCTGGCAATATATATGGCGATGTTGAAAACCAGGCATCGCCCAGTCCTGCAACAGAGGATGCGACTCGCTGCCAGCAACTCTTGCTTACGGGCCTGAGTTAGGGTACCTATGTTGCTGCTTTAAAATCAGGGCGTCCTATGCAAACCCCCATAAAGCAGCCCAGGGCAGGTTTTTCCTCTTTCTTACAATGACAAAGAGTGGGGGCAACTCAGTCCTGAAAGTTAACCCTCTAATCTCACAGCTCTTCCTTCCATCTCATGTGCTTGGGGTGGCAACAGTTGTGATTGTGCAGTTCTAAGGGAGCAGCAAGAGACACGGGTGGCGCTGTGGGTTAAACCAAAGCCTAGGACTTGACGATCAGAAGGTCGGCGGTTCAAATCCCCACAACGGGGTGAGCTCCCATTGCTCTGTCCCTGCTCCTGCCAACCTAGCAGTTCGAAAGCACGCAAGTGCAAGTAGATAAATAGGTACCGCTCCGGCAGGAAGGTAAACGGCGTTCCGTGCGCTGCTCTGGTTTGCCAGAAGCAGCTTAGTCATGCTGGCCACATGACCCGGAAGCTGTACGCCGGCTCCCTCGGCCAATAAAGCGAGATGAGCGCCGCAACCCCAGTGTCGGTCACGACTGGACCTAATGGTCAGGGGTCCCTTTACCTTTAAGGGAGCAGCACTCTGAGCATGTCTGAGAGGCCTTCGTTTTTAGTGGGTCACGTTTCCCAGGACATTCAGCACAGATTTAAATCAAACCCCAGCTTTCCCGGGTCACTAATCCAGTGCTAGCAACACAACAGATTTCACTCGTGTCTATGTGTCGTGCATGTGTTTGCAGAAGCAGGAGTTCTCTGGCTCCAGGATATTAAGTTGCTTTGTGAGCGCTGTCAGGGTTGCAGGCTCTTAGATCGTCAGTCCAGACCTCTGATCAATAGCAATTATTTACTTCACAGGTTTACCTGAAATAATCAAGCCAAGTGGTGACCTAAATTGGTTGGAAGAGGATGACCTGCATGCTTTCAATTGGAGGGAGGAAAAATCATTAAATTAGTGTGCTCCTTTCAGCCACACAGAGCAGCAGCCAGTATTTCCTGCTCTTCCTTTCCCCTTCTTTCTGCAAACATGGCCTACACGTTCTCTCTTTTTTATTTATGGATGTGGCTGTCACACAAATAAACAGTGAGCATAGGTCACTTACAGCACTAAATACAAACAGGCGCCAGTTCTGTTACAAAAGGGGGGGGGATAGGGAATGCCCTTTCCTCCCTTAATGGCATCTCAAAGAAGTAAAATTGGGCCCTTGACATCATTGTGAACCACGTTTTTAATCACGAGCCTTTGATGCATAAACGCTGTGTCATCAGCCAATGTCGTCTTCTTCTCGCTAACAACTGCCATGAAAGGGAGAAGAAGTCAGGCCTAAATGGGTTGGTGAACTTTGAAAGAAAGAACTAGGGCCCAAGTTTTCATTTTTGCTCCTCTCCCCCCATCCCTTTTTCCTTTTGTGTCGTGTCCTTCGGATTGCAAGCCTAAAGTCAGGGACTGTATTTCTGAGTACTGCAAGCCTCTCTGTGAGACTGTTTTCAGCTGAAAAGCGGAGCAAAAATTCTTTTAGACAAATATATAATCTAAGCGGGTGGCGCTGTGGGTTAAACCACAGAGCCTAGGACTTGCCGATCAGAAGGTCGGCGGTTCGAATCCCCACAACGGGGTGAGCTCCCGTTGCTCGGTCCCTGCTCCTGCCAACCTAGCAGTTCAAAAGCACCTCAAAGTGCAAGTAGATAAATAGGTACTGCTCCGGCAGGAAGCTAAACGGTGTTTCCGTGCGCTGCTCTGGTTCGCCAGAAGCGGCTTAGGCATGCTGTCCACATGACCCGGAAGCTGTACGCCGGCTCCCTTGGCCAATAAAGCAAGATGAGCGCTGCAACCCCACAGTTGTCCACAACTGAACCTAATGGTCTGGGGTCCCTTTACCTTTACAGTGGTAGCTCGCAAGACGAATGCCTCGCAAGACAAAAAACTCACTAGACGAAAGGGTTTTTTGTTTTTTGAGCTGCTTCGCAAGACGATTTTCCCTATGGGCTTGCTTCGCAAGACGGAAACGTCTTGCAAGTTTGTTTCCTTTTTCTTAACACCGTTAATACAGTTGCGACTTGACTTCGAGGAGCAACTCATAGAACGCGGTGTGGTAGCCTTTTTTGAGGTTTTTAAAGACTTTGGTGATTTTTGAAGCTTTTCCAAAACTTTCCTGACACCGTGCTTCGCAAGACGAAAAAAATCGCAAGACGACAAAACTCGCGGAACGAATTAATTTCGTCTTGCGAGGCACCACTGTACCTATAATCTAAGCACCTGTCAGATGCTGCTGCTGGTTGCTCGTGAGTAACCAGGCAGGACTCTGACCTGTCTTTTACAGGTTTTATTGTGCAAACTATTTACAGTGCAGATCTACAAAGTTCATGTCCGTCTTAGTCACTTGCAGCATCCGGGAGTGACCCCTTCCGGCTTCTCCTCTAACATAAGAACTTCGGCACCCCAAACCTCCGCCTCCCCTCCTCGCGTTTCACCCCGCAAGTTGGGCGACGGACGTGGCGTGCGTCCCTCCTGGCCAGCTCAGCAAGGTGAGGCGCTGGTGCTCTCAGCAGCATCCTCAAGCCCTTTCCTGGCTTGGCTGCCCCCTTCCCTCTCTTCTCCACTGGAGGTGTGGCTTTCCCCATGGCTGGAAGAGGAACTGCTCCTCAGGAGTTTTGGAGGCTCTCTGTATCCCTTGCCTCCCTCCCCTGTTCCGGTGGCAGTCCCCTGACACCACCCCTGAGGAACTATGTCACAAAATGCACTGAGCCAATAAACTCCCCCCCTCCCCCCGTGCACCTTTTGAGATTTCATCTCTTCTTCTCCCCGCCATCAGAAATAGTGGAAAGGAATCCCTGAGAGACTGTACTTCCTGACTTTACAGCTGACTTTGTGAATTCTGTCTAATCAAAGTCTTACACCCCAAAATCCAAGAAGACCTACTACTAAATGATCAAAAGGAAAGCAATGTAGTAGCAAATTAAAAACATTTCAGCTGTAGCAGAGGTAGCAACGGCAATAACAGCGGTTGCTGGCACTGAGGACTTATTGTGCAAGTCTACGGAGACTTCTATCCTGGGGGCGAGTCCAAGGGACATAATCAGAAATGTTCTTTTATTACTGAACAAATTAAGTCCTACTACAGTCAGTCGCACAGGAACAGTGATTATTCCATGAAGCTGGCAGAGCACTACTGAAATCTAAATTACAGAGTAGGAAACCTTCTGCCAGTAGAAAATTAAAGAATGCCTATAATAAGTAACAGTTTAAAGAGCGGTGTGTCCCCCCCATCTCTCTTTCCAAAAGCACTCGTGTAAGAATGGAAATATATACCTTACTTATTGCTTGGAACCTTATCTCCATGCGACGTAAAAGAAAATCAGTTTTATGGAATGGACAATTAAATGAACAAACACACTTCCCAAGCTACCAAAGATGAACTTACCACCGATTGGTGAGATTTGGATTAAAAACATATAAAGGGAGGGCAAAATTGACATGCAAACTACAAGACAAGGACAACTGTGACTTCAAAGAAGAATGGGAACCTTTTACAAATTATCTAAAAAACAACAACAAAATGAATTGGACTCCCTGGCAGGTTTTGAATAAACATACACACATTTATTGAGGGACAACATAGAAAATAAATAATATAAGGATGTACCGTATTTTTCGCGCCATAGGGTGCACCGCAGGGTTACGCCGAGGCCCGGGAATGCAGGCAGCTCTGTGCAACCGTTGGGAGACCGGTGCGGCTTCGCGCCAGTCTCCCAAGGGTTGCACAGAGCTTCCAGAAGCCTGGAGAGCGAGAGGGGTCAGTGTGCACCGACCCCTCTCGCTCTCCAGGCTTCAGCGAAAGCCTGCATTCGCCCCATAGGACGCACACACATTTCCCCTTCATTTTTGGAGGGGGAAAAGTGTGTCCTATAGGGCGAAAAATACGGTATACAGTTTTATAATATGCAGAAGTTAACATTGGATGAGAAATCAGAAAGAGGAGATGAGGAAAGTCGTAGGGGGGGAGGGAGGGAGGGAAGGAGGAGGAAGGGGAAAAATGGGGGAGAAACAAGGAAGATGATTTGTTTTGATAATTTGCTATGTTTAAATTGTTAATAATTTTTTTTAAAAAACCACACACATATAAATGGAGGAGGAAGAGATATCATTTAGAAAGCTAGGAGTCCTTAAAAGACAATGAGAATATAAAAACAACAGGATGAAAGCAGGTCTGCAATGTTTCATTTGGGTTCCCCAAACTTGGATTTCCAGCTTTTTTTGGACTACATTTCCCATCATTCCTGACCACTGAGTCATGCTAGGGATGATGGGAGTTGTAGTTCAAAATCAAAGGGAGACCCAAGTTTGGGAAACTCTGGATTAGGAAGATGTTTGGAGCCATTTAAAAAAGTGCCCCTGATGAACTGGGAGGATATTTAAAAGCATTTCCCAACATTTGTTTCCTGTCTTTTGCCCAAAAAGCAGATATGCATACACCCCTTTATTCCCACAACAGTAATGCCAGATACGTTAGGCTAAGAGATACTATCTGGTCAAAGGTTAGCCACTAAGTTGGCGGTTAGCCAGCTAGTCCTTGATACAAGTCCCACCCTGTAACCTAGCAATTCTCCAATGTGGTGCCCTTCAGGGTTATGGTGTGCAAGCATATGAGGCTACCACCTGGCTAAAGCTTAGTACTGTGGTACCTCGGGTTACAGACACTTCAGGTTACAGACGCTTCAGGTTACAGACTCCGCTAACCCAGAAATAGTACCTCGGGTTAAGAACTTTGCTTCAGGATAAGAACAGAAATCACGCAGCAGTGGCACGGCGGCAGTGGGAGGCCCCATTACCTAAAGTGGTACCTCAGGTTAAGAACAGTTTCAGGTTAAGAACAGACCTCCAGAACGAATTAAGTTCTTAACCTGAGGTACCACTGTAGGTCTGGATGGTCTCTTTTACCCCTGAAGGCATGCAGGTGGTGCTGTGGTCTAAACCACTGAGCCTCCTGGGCTTGCCGATCGGAAGGTCGGCGGTTCGAATCCACGCAACGAGGTGAGCTCCCGTTGCTCTGTCCCAGCTCCTGCCAACCTAGCAGTTCGAAAGCACGTCAAAATGCAAGTAGATAAATAGGTGCCACTGTGGCGAGAAGATAAACAGTGTTTCCGTGTGCTCTGGTTTCCATCACGGTGTTCCGTTGCACCAGAAGCGGTTTAGTCATACTGGCCACATGACCTGGAAAGCTGTCTGTGGACAAACACCAGCTAACTCGGCCTGAAAGCGAGATGAGGGCCGCAACCCCATAGTCGCCTTTGACTGGACTGAATCGTCCAGGGGGTCCTTTACCTTTACCCCTGAAACCATTTGAATGTCTTAGACTGAGAGCCCCTAAGGGAAAAGACTTACAGTGGTACCTCAGGTTAAGTACTTAATTTGTTCTGGAGGTCTGTTCTTAACCTGAAACTGTTCTTAACCTGAAGCACCACTTTAGCTAATGGGGCCTCTTGCTGCCACCGCACCGCCGGAGCACGATTTCTGTTGTCATCCTGAAGCAAAGTTCTTAACCCAAGGTACTATTTCTGGGTTAGCAGAGTCTGTAACCTGAAGCATATGTAACCTGAAGCGTATGTAACCCGAGGTACCACTGTACTAACATAAAACTGCTGTAGGCCACTCGAAGCCCATAAGTGGGGCAGGCTCATATACATATGCGCGCGCGCGCGCGCGCACACACACACACACACACACACACACACAATGGTTAAATTGGACCTTCCTTGGAGAAGCAGAAACAGTTATCCCATCAATTTCTCAAAATCAAGCCAAATAATTTTAACTCAGTGGGGTCAACATGGTATAAAGAATACACAAACTCCAGTTGCTACGCTCCTTCAAATTTATTTTAATGCATTCCATTTAAAAATCTACTTATTAAAAACCAAAAAGTACTTGCATTATAGGGGTGAAAATTGAGTTGTTGAGCCTTTTTTTGGAAAGGTTATTGAGTTTTTGTTGTTTCTTGTTTTGTTTTACAGTTAACTGGCTATGTCCAGTAAATTCCAGACGTATGGCAACCCTATACTTGGAGGGATGAGTATATTTTGTTTCAGATGAGCAAAGCAAACTATTACCTTCAATTTGCATATTTCTTGTAAAGCTTCACTCCTCTCTTTCTTAAGTTCTTCCAATTCCTCTCTTTGCAAAGGATCACAGGAGACAAACTGGATGCATTGAAATATTAGGGGGAGGGGGAGCAGAGATTGTTAACAAAGAAATTTTGGAATAATTAGGTCAGTTTTATCCATGATGATAATTAAACACCTACATTGTATAACACCTGCATTAACCATTAATGCTTTAAGATGATGTAAAATGATGCTGTTTTAATTATTATTGATTTGCGGAGACTGTAATAATAATAATAATAATAATAATAATAATAATAATAATAATAATAATAATAATAATAATAATTATTATAATATATACTAATAATATATTATATATATATATATATATATATATAATAATACAGGTTTTGGTGTCCTCGGGTGTCTTCCCGTGTAAAAGTTGGGGTGTCTAGGCGACGTTTCGACGAGGTCTCACTCGTCATCTTCAGGCTGGTGCTTTCGGCTTCTTGTTACTGGAACAGAGCAGGATCTCAGTGTTTGAGTTCCTATAAATACTGTTGAGGGGGTGTGGTGTATAGCCTCCAATGTTCTGGGCAGAGAGGAAGTTCCCAGGCTAGTGTGCCTTTTCTTCTTTTGTTCCTTAATTACTTGAGGGATATCTTGAGTGATTTCTTGAGTGATATTCTGAGTACCACTTAGGTGGGTCATTAGGTGTGGATTAGTTGCTAAAGCCTTCGTGTCTTGACCTCTTGAACTTTGTGAAGAGTTTTTCTGAGAAGATGGCTGTACTGCACTTAGTTGTGCTCTGGCTTGGCTTCGTGTATAGGGGCGAGCTGTGGTTTTGTGCCCTGTGCCAGCCAGATCTGTGTAGGGATTGCAGGGGGGTGCAGCATCCGGAGGTGCCACCATGGTTTGGCTACTGGATGGTGTCTGTAATTTATCTGTGGAGAGGGTCTGGGTTTGGGTCTGGTGTGGTTGATTGGTGATGGCGTTCTGTGTGCCTCTGGATCTGGTGTCGGTTTTTGTGGGGAGGGCTAATTTCCAGATGTTCCAGTAACAAGAAGCCGAAAGCACCAGCCTGAAGATGACGAGTGAGACCTCGTCGAAACGTCGCCTAGACACCCCAACTTTTACACGGGAAGACACCCGAGGACACCAAAACCTGCATTCCTGTACCCGTGAAAATCTACGAAAGCAAATATATAATAATAATATATATATACCAACTTAATCCTGTTTTTTTAAGAGATTTGCCTGCTATTCCAATGAATTAACTTAACTTGCAAAATCATCAAGTACAAATTGAAGCAGAATAATTAGAAGAGAATCCAACAAGCTGGCCTTCAAACATATTTGTGTGTGTGTGTGTTTATCAAAGCCCTAAGTTATTGCTTAATAGCCGATGGTTTTTAGAAGAAGCTAACAAGACAATTTCATTTTAAAATGCAAGGTTGAACAGGGGTTTGCAATATTAAATTCATAAAATCAACCATTAGAAAGACACAAAACTAAAGGGAAGAAAACCCAACAATATACTGGCAGGAGATGGACAATACAGGACAGCTGTATGAAATTAAAAGTAACAAATTATTATTGTTATTATCTATTCATTTATTCAATGAATAAATGAATGGATGGATTCAATGAATGAATCAATGATTAAATAAATAAACAAAGTCTAGATCAATGTACAGAGCTCCATAACAGACACATTACTTACCTGTGAATCTAGTAATTGGGCAATTTCGTGAGCATTAAGTGCTGCCTGTCCTTGGGCACCACCTGCCCCATCTAGCTGCAAACAGAATAGGTTTCTTGCCACCTGGACAAAATCTGAAACAGAGGCTAAGTGAGCATGAACATGCCTGATCGATGGCAAAAGAAGCAATTTCAAGATTGCACCCAACTTTTAGCTGCCTGTTGAACAACTGCTATGTTTTCTCGATGTCCTCCATGTTTTCCCCATCACCCATTTCCTATAAAACACCAGCTATGAATTGCACGTAGGGAAATCTGAAAGCATGACAGCCGGGTTTTTAACAAGTCAGCTAGGTTAATTGCCATCAGTCTTATGTTAACTTTTGGCAACCCTAAAAAGGCCCGAAATAGATGAGAGACCTGTGGATTCACACACATTCTCCTCTCGCTTACAGGCACTGAGCTCATTTAGCTACTTCCTCTTTGGCACAACCCATGGTTTCCCATTAAATCAGGCATAGGCAAACTCGGCCCTCCAGATGTTTTGAGACTACAACTCCCATCATCCCTGACCACTGGTCCTGTTAGCTAGGGATGGTGCGAGTTGTAGTCCCAAAACACCTGGAGGGCCGAGTTTGCCTATGCCTGCGTTAAATAGTTGGTCAACTATGGGTTGCGCTTCTCCACATACTAGGGACGGAGGCACTTTGGCCCCCCAAAATGTTTTGGGGGTTTTTTAGGGGGCCGACCCGTCCCCCATTGTTCTGAGGGTGAACATGGAGCCGGTACGAGGCAGCTCAGTGCTGACAGCTCCTCCTGCTGCTGCCACAACTGGCGGGGGGCGGCTTCCCCTGTCTTTCCCTTGCCGCTGAGGCCGTGTTGTCACTGCGTTCGACTTCGCCCCCTGGCTCCATGCGGCATCACCCTAAGCAAGCAAACTGTGAGAGAAGCCCACAATATTACATACAGCTGCTCAATGCAGAGCCTTGTGTGGTCAAACCTAAACACAGATTTATTACTGTAATGAATACGGCTGGGTGATATATTGATGTATCATCCAAACCCAGTAGGAAGGCCATACAGTGGTACCTCTGGTTGCGAACGGGATCCATTCTGGAGGCCGGTTTGCAACATGAAAAGAGTGCAACCTGCAGCGGCGTGTCTGCGCACGCACAGGTTGCGATTTGCCACTTCTGCGCATGATGTCATTTTGCACTTCTGCGCATGCGCAAGCGGCGAAACCTGGAAGCAACCATTTCCGGTACTTCCGGGTCGCCGCGGGACGTAACCTGAAAGAACGTAACATCAAGCGGACGTAACATGAGATATGACTGTATCATGATAGCAGTTTCCTAATTTTTGACCTACAAATACAGTGGTACCTCGGGTTACAGACGCTTCAGGTTACATACGCTTCAGGTTACAGACTCCGCTAACCCAGAAATAGTGCTTCAGGTTAAGAACTTTGCTTCAGGATGAGAACAGAAATCGTGCTCCAGCGGCGCGGTGGCAGCAGGAGGCCCCATTAGCTAAAGTGGTGCTTCAGGTTAAGAATAGTTTCAGGTTAAGTACAGACCTCCAGAACAAATTAAATACTTAACCTGAGATACCACTGTATATCGCAAATCATGGTGTGTGCCATGCAAAAATCGTGATGCGGAAAAACCGTTGAAGCCAGCCAATGCTTCTCCATAGCTCCATCCTTCTTTCAGACATCGTGATATATCAGTACGTCGCCATGTTTAGCTGCTGATCTATCACAATGTTGAAAACCAAGTATCACCCAAACACAGCGAGGAAGGCTTTTTTTTATGCAGCGTCCCCTGTTACCATTTGCCTAGAACCCACTTCATTACCTCCAAAAGACACTGTTCCTTTAGGATCCTTTGGGAGCTGCTGCCTTAGAATTTCTTGCTGTTCTTTTGTGGGTTGAATCCCGAGATAATTCAGAGCCTAGAAGCGGGATTTGGTGAGAGAGAGAAAGCACAGGGGTTTGAATTCTCTATCTGACAACGATGGAACATTGCACCTCCTTTTATCTGTTTAGGGAAGCTTTTAATGTTCAATAGATTATTGTATTTTAATATTCTGTTGGAAGCCGCCCAGAAACCCAGCCAGATGGGCGGGGTATAAATAAATAAATTATTGTTGTTGTTATTATTATTATTAGTCTTGTTTTAGCTTGCTTAAGTCACCTTTCCAGTCTGGGAAGAAGGTGGGATGTAAATAAATAATAATAATAATAATAATAATAATAGTAGTAGTAGTAGTAGTAGTAGTAATGATAATAATAATAATGCACTAACACACTTCCTATTTCCTCTCTCCAACACTGGATTATGGGGTGCATCTGTTCCATAAACGCCAACTCCTCACGGCTGAAGTCTCTTCACAAAGGTCTCCCCCAATAAAATATTTGAGGGGGCCAGGCCCCCACAAAGTTGATGGGCATTACTATTCAAATGGTGTGCAGCTGCTGTGTTTCGTTATCAATTACCGTATTTTTCGCACCATAGGGCGCACCGGACCATAGGGCGCACCCACTTTTTGGGGGGGGAAATAAAGGGGAAAAAATTATTTTCCCCCCAGGCGCGGGGCTGGGGCGGGGGAAGCTCAAGCTTCCCCCGACCCCAGCCCCCAAACAGGCAGCTCTCCGCAAGCAGCGGGAGCGCTCCCGCTGCTTGCGGAGAGGTCCGCAAAGCCTGGACGCACTGAGCTCAGCGCGCGCAGGCTTCAGCATGCAGGCAACTCTCTGCAAGCAGCGGGAGCGCTCCCGCTGCTTGCGGAGAGGTCCGCGAAGCCTGGAGAGCCTGAGGGGTCGGTGCGCACCGACCCCTCTCACTCTCCAGGCTTCAGCGAAAGCCTGCATTCGCACCATAGGATGCACACACATTTCCCCCTCATTTTTGGAGGGGGAAAAGTGCGTCCTATGGTGCGAAAAATACGGTATGTGTGGCAACGCTGACCCCCCCCCCCAATATTTGGCACCCTTGGGTTGGGCTCCCTTGATCTGTTCCTATACATCCACAGAGAGAAAAGTTTTACATACACTCGTAAGTGTGCTGTGGCGGAACTGAAACCCTGATTCTGCAAAATGCCTTCGCGAAAGAAAAAGAAAAAAGCATTTACGTGGCACTCTGGAGCGTTCCAAGTGCTTTGTGCACATTATCTCAGAACGACATAAGCACCGGTTTATCCTTTCTCTGCTGCCTAACCCATCCTCTTTGTAATGTTTAAATGGGTCTGCTAGTGGCGGCCAAGTAAGCACACGATGTATCAGGGCGTGTGCGCAACAAGCAAGAGTCTCGGGCGCTTTTTAGAGACAAGCCAAAGCGGCCGACTCTGAAACCTCCATTCATTCCAACAGGCTCTTACTGAAAAGGTTAGGGAGGTGTGCAGCGGCTGCGGGGAGTAGATGGTGCTTCTTCTAGGTGTTAGGTGGGTGGGCTACCTATTAAAGTAAGATAAGCAGGGGGATAAAGCAGCCTGGCTGATTCACATTGCCATTTTCTGGCACCCAAACAAAGATTTTAAAGAGAGGAGATTTGAGAAGAGGCATATGCAGCTTGAAACGCAACGCGGTGTGGGTTGCATCAGCACTTAGTCTCCTAAAACAAACAACTGACAACGAGAAAAAAAGGAAAGAAAGAGCAAATTCGGAAGCCCAATCTTCAAGCACTTATACAAAAAGGATATAAATATTTAAGTGGTCTGCCCCTCGCAGCTCTTTTCTCCCCCCTTATTTTCCTGTTCTCGGTATCGATGAAGCGAGAGAAGAAGGTATCACAAAAAAGAGAAATGAGATCTTTTTAGCAAAATAACTTTGGGAAATAGCTGGGGAAGAAGGCGGCTGCAGAACTTTGATAAAAGCACCTTGATGAAAGCACTTGAAAAGAAAAAAATTGTATCACTGATACCCAAAACATTTTCCTCTCAAACTGTAGGTGTTTCAGGGAAAGAAAATTTTTTACTAATGGGAGACTTCAACTTCTCTATTACCTTCTGGGTTATAAACGCCCCTAAGCATGAAATCTCCAGCAAATTCCTGCCATAGTTTGCTAGCACAACTTTCCAACTCAGAAATAGGAGGAAGGAGCAAGGGGTGTCCATTACCCTCGACTTGATCTTCACTAACAGGGAAGAGCTCACACTTCCCGAGAGAATACACAAGCTGAAATGCAGCTATTTTCTGAAAATCACACTTGAATTTTGCAAAGCTGCCCCCCCCAAACATGCACAAACATTTACGTACGCATGCATTGCATTATGAAAGGCTGCTTGCGAAAAAATGTGCAAATTGGGCAAAGTAACGCCCCCGAAACATGCATATGAGAAAAAAAGGCACCCAAAAATACTGATTAGGTTTTTATATGATTATGGACATAGCAAACTGATAGGGAGATGCTGCAAACGTAACTTAGGATTGGGGGGAAAATGAGAAACAGCCGTAGAGAGCTGTTTAAAAACAAATAAATGTGTGTACAAGCAAGGCTGCCCTGTTGAATATACTTCCTTGCTCCAAACTCACAATGAATCACAGGCTTCCATATTGTTCTTCCGGGAAATAATCTTTGGCTGGCATCCTGCTCTCGCTGCATGGAGGGAGTGAACACATTGTGGAGTAGCGCTTAATAAGAGTTAAGTAGGATCTGGCCCTTCCATGTAGCCACCAGTCAGGGAAGCCACATTCATGACAAGGGTGCTCAACGAAGCCAAGCTCTTTATTCCAATCAGAGGCCCATCCATGCTATAACACAGGGTTCCCCAAACTTCAGTCTCCCTCTGTTTTTGGACTACAATTCCCATCATCCCCGACCACCGGGGCATGATGGGAGTTGTAGTCCGACAACAGCGGGAGACCCAAGTTTGGGAAACCCTGCTCTAACACAAGGTCTCCCACCCACCTGCTCCTCCAAGGCCTATAGCCTGTTGCAACATACTCAGCAGCAATGCACCAACGATAGGGGAGCTCTGCTCAGTTCCTTTCAGGAAGCTAACCTGCAACTCACTTTCAATGCACACAGGGTGGAGAGAGGAAGGAGAAAGACTTGCAGGATGGCACCTCCACTGTGAACGTTCTTGCAACCATCTCGAACAGGAAATGTGGCTCCAAAACTGTCTAATCCATGGGTAGGCAAACTAAGGCCCAGGGGTCGGATCCAGCCCAATCACCTTCTAAATCCAGCCCGCAGACGGTCTGGGAATCAGCGTGCTTTTACATGAGTAGAATGTGTCCTTTTATTTAAAATGCATCACTGGGTTATTTGTGGGGCCTGCCTGGTGTTTTTACATGAGTAGAATGTGGGCTTTTATTTAAAATGCCACTCTGGGTTATTTGTGGGGCATAGGAATTCATTCATTTTTTATTTTCCCCCCAAAATATAGTCCGGCCCCCCACAAGGTCTGAGGGACAGTGGACCGGTCCCCTGCCGAAAAAGTTTGCTGACCCCACTCTAATCCTTTTCTTCATCTGCGTTAACGTCTAAACTCCTCTATTTGGATCTGAATACACACAAGCACTCAGTCCCTGCCACTCTCTTTGTGAGTCCAAAGAGTCCTTGCTGAAATTCATTTACTTGGCAAGAAGAACAAAAGCTCTACAAGTTCATGTCATAGCCACAAAGTGCTCATAACTCCTGGCCAAAATGGGAATCTTCCAGTTACTTTGGCTGGAGACCTACAGTAATATATTGCAAATTTTAGAGATCGCTAGAAATAAGCTAGTGTGACTATAAAAATATTTTAAAAGGAAAGACAACAAGGGTCCCGAGCCAAAGTAAATTGCTAGAGCCAAAGTAAATTGCTGAAATTAATGGGATATAAAGTCAATGGGAACTCAAGCACGACTTTCCCTAGATTTGGGCTAAAGGTTCCTGCAACATTTGCAAAAGGCAGTTCTGCTGCTAGGAGAGGAAATTGCAGCAGAAAGAGTAGCATCAAAAGCTTTAAAACATTTTCATCCAGCCAGACCATTTCAATATTTGCTAAATAATTTCAACAGGCAACAAATGTCGATTCAGCACAGCAAACCGTTGGTCTCACGAGTATTATTTACCCGTGTGGAATAGTAATTTCTGTCACCAAATTGCCACAGGAACAAAAGTAAAAAATAAAGACAGAAGATATTTACCATCTCTAGTTTATCCGCTTGGAGACGAACAGTGGGGTTTAGGGAAATCTTCCTTCTTTGTGGTCCATAATCATCGCTCCACGTGGGGCCAACAGCTAAGAGACAACAGGTTGCACATTAATTGGAAATCTAATTGGAACTTTTTCTCCTGAAGGATGTGTTCCGAACTCCTGCTGTTCAAACAACTGGAGCTAATCACCTGAATACCAGAATCAACTCGTGTTTGTTATTCCACCCCCCTTTAAACAGTAAGCAAGATGCAATTTAAATGTTTATTACAGATCTCAAATAGAAACTGATGGATGCTGCTGAAATACTAGTTGGACCTTCCTGTACGAACCCGCCAAGATATAAGGGTCTCGGGGGGGGGGGAGGGACCTCACACAAAAACCTGGAGAATAATTGGGGAATGAATCGGCTGTGGATCAAACAGATATTATTGAAATATGAACAGGCATATCATGAGAGAGGCACATGGTGACACCTCTTTTAAAAAACAATCAAAAGGAAACAGGAGATGGAGGGAGAGAGAAAGAGAGAGAAATTAGTTGATACAGGCTGTGGCACAGATGTACACAATTTCTTTTTTGTGGTGAGGGGGCATTTCTTTGGACTCCTGCCAAGTCACCAAAACTGCTTTCTAAAACATCCCCCAAAGCCTGCATATTTGCAAAACAATAACAATTTATTACTTATACCCTGCCCATCTGGTTGGGTTTCCCCAGCCACTCTGGGCAGCTCACAACAGGATATTAAAAACGCGATAAAACATCAAACATTAAAAACTTCCCTAAACAGGGCTGCCTTCAGGTGTCTTCTAAAAGACAAATAGTTGTTTATTTCCTTGACATCTGATGGGAGGGCGTTCCACAGGGTGGGCGCCACTACCGAGAAGGCCCTTTACCTGGTTCCCTGTAACCTGGCTTCTCGCATTGAGGGAACTGCCAGAAGGTCGTCGGTGCTGGACCTCAGTGACCTCAACAATGGGGGTGGAGACGCTCCTTCAGGTATACTGGGCTGAGGCTGTTTAGGGCTTTGAAGGTCAGCGTCAACACTTTGAATTGTGCTCGGAAATGTACTAGGAGCCAATGTAGGTCTTTCAGGACCGGTGTTTTATATGCATGGTTGAGCAAGCATGGCTGTACCAACACTAGACAACCCATACAGTATTCTACCACCCAAGGTGCATGTGCTTTTAGAATACCCCAACGTATTTTTGCATCTATAGCTATACGTACATACATGAACTGCCTACAGCCTGTTTAAGACATACAGGAGAAGCGGCTTGGAGGCAAAACAAGGATTTTGCCTATGCCTGAGCCCTTGCCTCCTACCCAACCTTCAGCAAATGTGAAAACAAAATGCAAGGTGCTTTTACACTCATTTTATATCTTTAATATACATGTGGCAAACATATGTTAAGTGCAGAGTCCTATAAGCACTGGAAAATACTTAGGTTTCTATGGCAACTGGATCTTCAGATACGCTGGTGTTATTCACCATGCTGTGCCAAAGTGAGCCTATTGATTACTAATTATATAAGCTTGGCAGGTTTTCAATCGGCCTACTTCCAGGGAAGCCTGTCCATGTCTATTTGTTTGCCACAGGTGCCCGGTGTGGCACTGCAAAGCATTCTGGGAGTGTTAGTTCATGCAGGGCTCCAGCCAGGCCTACTGAATGGAACTACTGCTGCAGAAACCAGGGCTTATCCTAGAATACACTCAAACAACAGCAACAATTTATTTGTATGCCGCCTATCTGACTGGGGTGCCTCAGCCCCTCTGGGTGGCTTCCAACAAATGAAAACATCAAACGCAGTAAAACAGTAAAACCCCAAACATAAAAAACTTCCCCTATACAGGGCTGCCTCCAGATGTCTTCTCAAAGTCAGGTAGTTGTTTATTTCCTTGACATCTGAGAGGAGGGTGTTCTAGGGAGGAGCTGTCATGGACGGCAAGCTTGTCCAGCGTTACAGATATTCTCAGGAATACGCAGCTACCCCAAATAGGGATCGAACCTGCAACCTTGGTATTCCCTGAAACAGACTTTGAAAACCATTTATTACTCCCTTTATAGGTAAAGGACCCCTGGACGGTTAAGTCCAGTCAAAGGCGACTATGGGGTTGCGGCGCTCATCTCGCTTTCAGGCTGAGGGAGCCGGCGTTTGTCTGCAGACAGCTTTCCGGGTCATGTGGCCAGCATGACTAAACCGCTTCTGGTGCAACAGGACACCGGGATGAGTGCCAGAGCGCACGGAAATGCCGTTTACCTTCCCGCTGCAGCGGTACCTATTTATCTACTTGCGCCGGCGTGCTTTCAAACTGCTAGGTTGGCAGAAGCTGGGACAGAGCAAAGGGAGCTCACCCCGTCGCGGGGATTCGAACTGCCAACCTTCCGATTGGCAAGCCCAAGAGGCTCAGTGGTTTCGACCACAGCGCCACCCTTTATATCTCACATCTTTTCCATTATGGCACTCAAGGTGACTTACATGGGCCTCCTTGATGGTATCCCATCCTTTCACTAGCCAGACCCAGATATGTTTAGCTTCAGAAAGGTCGCTACATCATGAGCTTTGGACCAGGCCCTGGCACCCACAGCCCCAAACCCCAGGTGTCAATCCTATAGCTGTAGAAGACAAATGAGGAAGGAAAGGGTGCATTGTCCTTGCTGGTTACAAGCAAGGACAATCCATCCTTGTTCAGCCATCCCACAAAATAGTCAATGACCATTATATTGGAAAGGGACTGCTAGACAATCCATTCATTCGTGTTAGGGGAACAATGGGTGCATAATAGAGGCTTTTTCTAAAGGAAAAGTAAACACATTAAATGCTACTCCTGTGAGAAAGGTAATGGCAACTATGTGATGAGAAAGCAAGGAAGTGAGCGTTTACCCCCAGCAGATGCATCAACGGTACTGTTGTTTGCAGAAAATGCGGGAGATTGCTTTCTCCTCGTGAATCCGGCTCTCGTCTATGAAAGAAAAAACACAAAATAAGGAGGTGCCTTCTGGTAAAGTGGGTCAAGGACCAAACAAACAAATGTCATTAAAAACCAAACACACACACACACACACACACACACAGGCTGATTACAGAAAAGAAGCCCTGGCTAATGCTTTATCTAAACTTCAGATGAATATACAATACATAGCAAAAGCTTTAGAAGAAACTGGTTCCCTTTACAACATGCGCCCATAGAATTATGTTAAGCAGCTTTGGAAGAGTGGTCTGTATTGACTGTTCTTCAAGCAGCCCCAGAACCGCTGGAATAAACCATGGTTATTTAGTTTTTTCTCTGCCTGCCGCTGCAAAGAAATCCATCCCCACCCTATCAACTCATGCAGGGATGCAACCACGCTAGAAGGGACACTGTTAGCTGCAGAGAGCGAGAGAAGCTATAGAAGCCAAAAGGAACTTAATTTGGCAGGCTGGACCAATCTGTGGTCACCAAGCCAAACCGCCAGCCACAAAGAACGGGAGGGTGCATTCCATCAGATATGTGGGCAACCTTAAGTACTGCGCAACTGGTAAAAGCCAACTCCCGACGGAGGGCCCCTAGCTAAGGAATTCCAGGCTGGATCCAAGGCTGGAAAAAGGCTTCAATACACTCCTACCTCCCTGACATGGCTTTTTTTAAAATGTCCAATTTCTCTTAGTAGCTCTACACAGACAGTGGCTACGGTGGTGGTCCCGAGAACGAGGAGATCCAAAGCAGGAACTGGGTGCCATTTATTACGCAAAAGGCATGTAGAGGTTTTCCATCAGGGAACGTATAGCTCTTGCCAGACAGATCCCTGTCCTTTTCTGACAAAAAAAAACCCAATCCAGTAGCATTGAGAATTTCCACTGTTTTGTGCTGCGTCATAGAATTCTAGAAAGTGTTAATGGCTAAAAAAAAAAAAAAGGAGCAAGGGAACATTTGATCACGTGTCCCAGGGAAGCTCTGATTGATTGATTTCATTTGTATATCACCCTTTCCTACAAGGAACTGAAAGTGGTGTGCATGGTTCTCCTTCTTCCCATCTTATCCACCCAATAACCTTGCGAGGTAGGTTATGCTGAGATTGAGTGACTGGCCCAAGGTCACCCAGTGAGCTTTCATGGCTGAGTGGGGATTCGAACCCTAGTCTCCCAGGTTCCTATTCTGACACACTAACCACTGTGCCACGTGGTACCACTGGCTCCCACGTGTTCATGGCTTTTCAAGGACTCTGTTTTATACATTACAGTGCAGGCACATCTCAGCGACATGCAAGACTCCTGAAAAATTCAGGTTGCAAATCTAATGCAAGGGGATGGACAATGTAATGTATGACCTGTTGTGTTTTGCTTTCCTCCGTCTGTTTGTCATTTCCCGAGGGAGCTGTTTATACCCAACAGTGCTGAGAAAGAGTACAGTCTTATGCATATCTATGTTCCTCTTGTGTCTGATGGGAGTTTACTCCCAAGAAAGCATGCTTAGGATCCAAATGGACTCCCAGTTCATCGAAATAATGCTTAAAAGAAAAGAGGACATCCAACAGAATGGTATAAAAATGTTGTTCACTGAAATTTCTCCAGCTGTATTAGCATTATATTTCAAAGAAGAGCATGTTTTTCATGCAGAGCTTTGGGGTTTTATTGGGGGGGGGAGGGAGGGCGGGAGGAGGAGGAATCATGTGTCTGTTCAAATTTCCTTACTTCCTCCATACTAAGAATGATGACAGGGTGCTGGCTATGGGAAGAAGCCACACAGCACGCTTGGCAGAGAAATTCTCCTTACTCTTTCTTTCCTTTTTTAATTTTAAAAAATGTATTTTCCTCTCGACTGTTTGAACTGAGGAAGAGCTTAACATATCACCATCATCAGCTTTATTGCACTAGCCAAAGGCCATGGCATCATTCACAAAAGGAACGAAGAGAAAAGCAACAATAACCATAAAGGTAAAGCTGACCGTTAGGTCCAGTCGCGAACGACTCTGGGGTTGCGTGCTCATCTCGCTCTATAGGCCGAGGGAGCTGGCGTTTGTCCACAGACAGCTTCCGGGTCATGTGGCCAGCATGACTAAGCTGCTTCTGATGAATCAGAGCAGCGCACGGAAACGCCGTTTGCCTTCCCGTCGGAGCGGTACCTATTTATCTACTTGCACTTTGAGGTGCTTTTGAACTGCTAGGTGGGCAGGAGCTGGGACTGAACAAGGGGAGCTCACCCCGTTGCAGGGATTCGAACCGCTGACCTTCCAATCAGCAAGCCCTAGGCTCAGTGGTTTAGACCACAATGCCACCTGCATCCATAAAAAACCATAAAAACATCAGGCACTGCACATACAATAAACCACAATCACGTCTCCTAAAAATTATTTGTTGCATACGATAGAAGAGCAAGGGGTTCTCAGGTAGAATGAGCCAGCTTAAATGTCCGAATGACCTTTGCAATTGACTATTTTATCTAGTTCTTTTCTCCTGATCTTCTTAGCTGCCAATGCATATAGTGCTACTTTATAAGTTACAAAGGCTTAACATATCTCAATAGCTGGTGGAGCTCATGAATTTGCCTACATACAAAAAGAAAACCTGGTTGCCACTTATGTTCCATCGGACCAACACAGACAAGAAAACTTCAGTATAAATTGAGGTGAGTTTTTTCTTAAAGAAAGGAAGATTTGAAGATTTTTTAAAAAATGTACCAAAATAAGGAACATATGTATGTTGGGGCACACATGGTATAAATTAAAGTGAGCCTTTGATCAGGGGGAGGGGCAACCTTTGGATAGCTCAGTTAGCAGAGCATGAGACTCTTAATTTCAGAGCTGTGGGTTCGAGCCCCACATAGGGCAAAGATTCCTGCATTGCAGGGGGTTGGTCTAGATGACCACTGGGGTCCCCTGCAATCTACAACTATGTGAGGCTGCTGTCCTATATAACAGGGATGGGCAACCTTTTTTTTCTGCTAAGGGCCAATCATTTATGAAATGCACACTGGTGGTTGGTTGAAGTCAAAACTGGGCGAGGTTGGAGCTAAAAGCAGATGGGGCCACCCTTTCCCTCTCTTTTCTCCTTTCCCTAACACAACTCTCTTCCTCCCTTCTTTGTCAGCTGCATAAAATTACACAGAGAGCTACATCTCGCCATAGGACTGCCAGCTGTCCATCAATGCTATGTGTGCGTGGTTGGGTGCAAGTCCCATTGAACCCAGCAGGCAGTGCTGGATTTATGTACAGTGGTGGACGCGGGTGGCGCTGTGGGTTAAACCACAGAGCCTAGGACTTGCTGATCAGAAGGTCGGCGGTTCGAATCCCCGCGACGGGGTGAGTTCCCGTTGCTCGGTTCCTGCTCCTGCCAACCTAGCAGTTCGAAAGCACATCAAAGTGCAAGTAGATAAATAGGTACCGCTCCGGCGGGAAGGTAAACGGCGTTTCTGTGCGCTGCTCTGGTTCGCCAGAAGCGGCTTAGTCATGCTGGCCACATGACCCGGAAGCTGTATGCTGGCTCCCTCGGCCAATAAAGTGAGATGAGCGCCACAACCCCAGAGTCGGTCACGACTGGACCTAATGGTCAGGGGTCCCTTTACCTTTACCTTGGGTTACATACGCTTCAGGTTACATACGCTTCAGGTTACAGACTAGCTAAACAAGCTATAGCTTAGGGTCCCACTTTCTTGTGCCCCCCCCAAAAAAAAAACAAAGTGGAAAAAGCTGGATGTACATTTTCAAAATATAAGATAAAAAACAAATAAAATAAAACCAAGATACAGCAACAGAGTTTTGTGTTGTGTAGGCTCCTATGATGTAAGAAATGGGCCCCACCTGCTAGCCTGCTCCCTAAAATATCACCGGTTTGCTCATTTCTATATATAGGGTGCCAGCATTCTGCATGTGCAAATGGCTTTAGATACATATTAGGTCCATAATCATACAGTGGTACCTTGGGTTAAGAACTTAATTCGTTCCGGAGGTCCATTCTTAACCTGAAACTGTTCTTAACCTGAAGCACCACTTTAGCTAATGGGGCCTCCTGCTGCTGCCGTGCCACCGCTGCGCAATTTCTGTTCTCATCCTGAAGCAAAGTTCTTAACCTGAAGCACTATTTCTGGGTTAGCGGAGTCTGTAACCTGAAGCGTCTGTAACCTGAAGCGTCTGTAAGCCAAGGTACCACTGTACAGCATATATTCAACACAAAAAACAGCGACAATTTGTTGCTCACAAAGGACAGCTGGACATATAAAGGGCCCCATTACCTTCAGTAGCTTAGGGCCACATCAAACCTAAATCCGGCCCTGCCAGGGGGGACTCACTTCCAAGCTAGACATATATAGGACTGCATTGCCAGTCACTTGTGCCTTCTGAAAGAACATATAGACCGATGTGTAAGCGAGGAGGTCAAGGAATTGATCTCTGCTAAAACAACTGGCTGCCTGTGAAATTTGCGACAAGCAGGACTTGGATAATCTATCTAGTTTAGCAGTTTGCTTGCTGATTGCTGCCCCTTTGTCAACCGACGACCCTTAAATTGGTTTTCAGAGAATACTTGCCACATTCAGAATAGACATCTTTGAGTCAATGCTCTCATTCGGAGACGAAGATGGAGGAAGCTGCAGTCCGTATCCATCCGAAGTTAACAGGCTGGAGGGGGGCGGCACAGTTTCCGCTTGACTGGAAAGAGGTTCACGCCGAATGAAAGTGATTTCCCACGAGGAGCTAGATCTAAAAATGAAGTCACAGGTTGGACACAGGTATTGTACGTTGCATTCTTCCTGAAATAACAAAGACCTCCCTGTAATTATCAAAATATGTCAGGCAGCAAGTGATGTTTAGAGGGTCAATAAAATTCAGTGGGACAAAAATCTGTTGCACCAACTTGTTTTTAATTATTGCCCTTGTTCTTGATGGCTAGGAGGGCCAAATTTGTGAGGGTCTTACGTTTTTAATGTGCTGTTACCAGCCCAGAATGTTTGGGCTTAGGTGGCATCTGTCTTGGGAAACAATGGAGTGCGTCTATGGGGCTGGGGTCAAACCACTGGAGAATCACAGTGCCCGAAAGTATCAGGATTTATGCCTGCAAGACAGGGAGTTCTTTTTAACAGCTCTATATTTTAGCACTTCCAACAACACATATCCAAAATTCTCTCTCTAATCACGAGGGCTAGAGACATAAATCGACCAAATCTATACTAGGGAAGACAGACGGATGTAAAATGCAGCGTTCAGAGGACTTGTTTTGTAGGGCAGTTGTTACCTCAGCTTTGTTCTGTTGATTAGGCTTCTTGCTTCTTCATAGGTGATTCCAATCAATGACTCCTTGTTAATGGAAACAAGCTGGTCCCCAGCTCTCAGCCGACCATCCTAGCAAGAACAAGGGCAGTCGTTGGCACTTGTTTTTGCAATCAAGTTGCCTTAAGAGGTCAAGGCAAACTCTCCAAATTTATAAACTCCCAAGGTTGTTCAGTCTGTCAAATTGCCTTTTAGAGAAGGGGAGGGCCACATTTGATCTGATAAGAGTGCCAGACTCTTGGTACAAATAAATAACAAATCAGAGTGCCTGGTACAAATAACTGCCCGACTGAAGCAGGCTGCTCTCTGCCCCTTGCTCTGCTCAGTTTATGAACTGTATGTGGTTTTTGGTATGACTGTGTAGAAGTGTAGAGCTGAAATGGTCATTTAGTAAACCCCCCGCAATGCAGGAATCACAGGTAAAGTATCCACGACAGGTGGCTATTCAGACTCTGCTCAAAAACCTCCAATGAAGGAGAGTCTGCCACCTTCTGAGGTAGCCTGTTCCACGGCTTAACAGATCTTACCATCAGAATGTTCTTCCTAATGTTTAGTTCAGGGGTCAGCAAACTTTTTCAGCAGCAGAAGAAAAGAGTTTGGATTTGATATCCCACTTTATCACTACCCAAAGGAGTCTCAAAGCGGCTAACATTCTCCTTTCCCTTCCTCCCCCACAACAAACACTCTGTGAGGTGTGTGAGGCTGAGAGACTTCAGAGAAGTGTGACTGGCCCAAGGTCATCCAGCAGCTGCATGTGGAGGAGCGGAGACGCGAACCCGGTTCACCAGATTACAAGTCCACTGCTCTTAACCACTGCACCACTGTCCCTCAGACCTTGTGGGGGGGCTGGACTATGTTTTGGAGGGAAAAACTGAATGAATTCCTATGCCCCACAAATAACCCAGAGATGCATTTTAAATAAAAGCCCACATTCTACTCATGTAAAAACACCAGGCAGGCCCCACAAATAAACCAGAGATGCATTTTAAATAAAAGGACACATTCTACTCATGTAAAAACACACTGATTCCCGGAACGTCCACGGGCTGGATTTAGAAGGCGACTGGGCTGGATCCGGCCCCTGGGCCTTAGTTTGCCTACCCATGGTTATGTTGGACTCTCTTTCTTGTAACTGAATTCACTGGTTTGGGTCCTACAGCAGAAAACACGCTTGCTCAATCTTCCATGTGACAGCTCTCCAGATATTTAAAGAAGGCTATCATATTTCCTCTCAGTCTTCTCTTCTCCAGGATAAATTAATACTATGCTGTATTTGTGTTTCTGTTTTTTAAGTATGTGGTAGGTCAAGTGTGTGACAAGTGACTATCGAATCTAACCACCACCAGCAGCAAACAGTGCAAAACCTTCTATGGAATACAAAGGAAGAAGAAAAAGCCTCAACTCTCAGCTTGCATATTAGAAGAAGGAATTCGAGCAGAGCCTTGTCCCGGATGCACAGGTTTTCTACGTGCAGGCAGGTTTTATCAATTCAATCTCCTTTATTGGCATAGAATGAGTGTGTTGTATACATGGATCAGAACACACCACAAGTAGGAGGCACTTTTAGGTAAAACTATCCAGACATCGTGAGAAACAGAGGTGGCTCTAAAGATATATGGTGACGTTATTTCATGGCATCACTCAAAAATTTCGCCAAATTCTCCACACGTCATTCCTACAGTTATTCAGCAGACTGGACACCCTGGAAGAGGTTTTAGAAATGGGAGCCTATTAAAAATATCAGTACCCTTACATGCATTCTGAACTACTAGGGTTGCAGCAGTACTGCACTATACGTGTCTGTTTGTCTGTAGAGGTAAAGTAAAGGTAAAGGACCCCTTGTCGTTTAACTCCAGTCAAAGGCGACTATGGGGTTGCGGCACTCATCTCGCTTTCAGGCCAAGAGAGCCGGCGTTTGTCCACAGACAGCTTTCCAAGTCATGTGGCCAGCAGGACTAAACTGCTTCTGGCGCAACGGGACACTGTGACAAAAACCAGAGCACACGGAAACGCTGTTTACCTTCCTGCTGCAGCGGTACCTATTTATCTACTTGCACTGGTATGCTTTTGAACTGCTAGGTTGGCAGAAGCTGGGACAGATCAACGGGAGCTCACTCCATCGCGGGGATTCAAACTGCCGATCTTCTGATTGGCAATCCCAAGAGGCTCAGTGGTTTAGACCACAGCGCCACCCACACTTCAGTCCGATAACTCTGCTTTTGATTTAGGAGAGAGAGCAAAATATACTTAAAAGTGTGTTAAAATGCAAGTTGTGGAACAGAAGGGGTCCTTGTAGGTGAAGCTTGTATTTTATTCCCACTACAGTGGTACCTCGGGTTAAGTACTTAATTCGTTCCGGAGGTCCGTACTTAACCTGAAACTGTTCTTAACCTGAAGCACCACTTTAGCTAATGGGGCCTTCCTGCTGCAGCTGCACCGCAGGAGCACGATTTCTTTTCTCATCCTGAAGCAAAGTTCTTAACCCGAGGTACTATTTCTGGGTTAGCGGAGTCTGTAACCTGAAGCGTATGTAACCCAAGGTACCACTGTATTTTATCCTGATGGGGAGCAACAGCCACTGTGATGAAGCGAACCAAGTCCTCATAGCTAGAGCTGTCGAAATCAGCAATAGATGGACTGGACAGCCATGTAGATACCAGGGGATGAAAAAAATTTTTAAAAGGATAAGGGATAGGGAAGGGGATAATCAGGCAGTACTAGATGTCCTGGAAAGGAGAGGCTGGCATTAGGAGCTGAACTACTTTGCTGCTGCAGAACATAGTAACAGATCAGCGAGAGATATCAGTGGAATTTCACTGGGCACAAAATTGGACACAGATGGTCGTTTTGTTTTAGAATTAAGCCACAGACAGTTTGTGAGAAGTTTCTGTACCAGTTAATCCAGCTCTGAGCTGGATTAATTCGCACCAGAGGGGTGGGGGTAAGGGATCCAGTTTCAAACAGCTAGACATACAACCTCGGTGAACATTTGGACCGAGCAGATGCAACAGCGGAGAGCCCAAAGACTTTGGCACCAATAATTTAGAGCACAGTTCAGGAAAATGTGGGTGGGTGGCTGGGGAGGTGGAGAACGAGGCCAGAAAAAGCGCTTTTGCACTCAGCTCAAACCAACGTTTAGCCTACAGCACATCACATTTCTGTTTTTGCCAAGTTCTACACTTAAAATTAAAAGAGAGGCTCTTTAAAAAAAAAAAATCAATGCAAGCAGCAATTCAGTCCGTGAAAATTGCAGACCCTCTAAGTGTCTCTTTTTTCCAGGAAGAGTCCAGGACTTACAGAAGCCATCCCGGTTTCTGCTTTGAACCAGCAATGTCCTGCTTCTCCTTAGGATGTCCCTATTTTCACGAGACAAATGTTGGGGAGTATAGAGTTATGTGACCATTCCGAGCCAAGGAGATAAGTAACTATACAATCTTTAGAAGGCATCTGAAGGCAGCCCTTTATAGGGAAGGTTTTTTTAAAAAAATGTTTAATGTTTGATTATGTTTTTATATGTTGGAAGCTGCCCAGAGAAGCTGGGGCAACACACTCAGATAGGTGGGGATATAAATAATAAAACTATTATTATTATTATTATTATTATGGAATAAGACATCCATATTTTTATCAGAGAAATATTGGAGGGTATGGAATTGCTGTCAACCTGAAAACAACAGGAATTCTAAGCATATACAGTGGTACCTCGCGAGACGAATGCCTCGCAAGACAAAAAACTCGCTAGACGAAAGGGTTTTTTGAGCTGCTTCACAAGACGATTTTCCCTATGGGCTTGCTTCGCAAGACGGAAACGTCTTGCAAGTTTGTTTCCTTTTTCTTAACACCGTTAATACAGTTGCGACTTGACTTCGAGGAGCAACTCATAGAACGCGGTGTGGTAGCCTTTTTTGAGGTTTTTGAAGACTTTGGTGATTTTTGAAGCTTTTCCAAAACTTTCCCAACACCGTGCTTTGCAAGACGAAAAAAATCGCAAGACGACAAAACTCGCGGAACGAATTAATTTCGTCTTGCGAGGCACCACTGTAAGTCACTTCTGAAGGCACAAAAGTACTCTATAAAGATGTTCAGCCACACACATCCTTATGCATTGCAAGGGGTTGGACTAGATGATCCACAGGGTCCCTTCCAACTCTACGATTCTATGAGTGTACCAGGCTGATAAAACTAGAGAGGCTGATTGTTCCCATTTTACTGACACAGAACTGAGGCAGGTACAGGATTTGAACCGAAACTTTGAGGGCAGAATGCGTCAATAAGGAGGCCAATGCCCCTCCTTCCTCCCTAACCACTAAGAGATCCTCTAAATCAGGCATAGGCAAAGTCAGCCCTCCAGATGTTTTGGGACTACAACTCCCATCATCCCTAGCTAAGAGGACCAGTGGTCAGGGATGATGGGAGTTGTAGTCTCAAAGCATCTGCCTATGCTTGCTCTAAATCAATCGCGAGAATCTCTGCTTCGCAATGCCTGGAAGCTATCCCAAAGGGATGCCCGGTTGGAATATCACGCGTTAATAAACCGACACTAATCAAATGAAGGCCGCTGTCACCACTGTGGAAAGGATGGCTAGAAAAAGAAAGAGAGAGTAGGAAATCAGGCAGAGGCCAGAGTGTGAGTTTGTGGGCTAAGACGCCTCCCCACCCTGAGCCCAGATATGGCAATGGATAAGGAAAAGAGCGATTACTTGACACTTCACCTATGGCAAGAGAAAGGAAGGGATGCCGCACATTTATTTTATCATGCACAGGGTTGAACCATTAATTGCTTTTTAATATACACTCCAGCAGCCTATGCAGTGGTACCTCGGGTTAAGAACTTAATTCGTTCTGGCGATCCATTCTTAACCTGAAACTGTTCTTAACCTGAGGTACCACTTTAGCTAATGGGACCTCCCACTGCCGCCATGCCGCCACTGTGCGGTTTCTGTTCTCATCCTGAAGCAAAGTTCTTAACTTGAGGTACTATTTCTGGGTTAGCGGAGTCTGTAACCTGAAGCGTCTGCAACTCGAGGTACCACTGTATATGAAAATGCATGCAACAGCCTATTCCACAAGAAGCTAATCCTGGTTTGCTTTCTTAGATGCCACTTTATAACTTCTGACGCTATAGCACTGAGCAACGGCATCTCGTTTGTTCCTCAGTGCTTATTATTTTTTCGACTAGGCTAAAATACTTCTTATCTGGCAGTGGCAAGCAACACAAGTGACAACAGTGGCCTCTGGTGGCACTGGTGCCAAACAGCACACACAAACCGCATCTGAAGCTAGTTCACAGCTAAAGCTCCGAACTGCCTATAAATTGTAGGATTGATTTGGAGGGGGTGGGACTTGGGTCTTAAATTTGAGAAAAGCGTAAACAAGCATAAATAGGTTTCTTGAGATTGGCATGCTTTCAAAAGGAGGAGTTAAAAATTTGACAGCCGTGCGTATTCTCTCTCTGTGCTATAATCCCTGTATTTTTCGCTCTATAAGGCGCACCCGATCATAAGATGCACCTAGTTTTTAGAGGAAGAAAACAAAAAAAGCCAGCAAAAGCCGCAGACACGCTCGCTCTTTAAAGATAGAGTGGCTCTTGCTGGCTTTTCCGGGGGGTGGGAGAAGGGACTGACGGACTGCCCTCCGTCCCTTCTCCCACCTCCCTCCAAAGCCAGAGCAAGCTGCACAGCTATCGCTGAAGCCACACACACACACACACACACACACACACAGATGGAGATGAAGAGAAAGAACAGTCCTCAGAGAAAAAAAGCTCTGCTATAATCAAACAGCACATTGTAGAAACTAAGCCCTGCTCCTAAACCGCTCACTGCTTGAGGACATGGTTAGGGACACTTAATGTTGCCATCAAGAGATGCATTAGTTCCAGTTTTGCACATGATGCAAAACTTTGTCTCAACGGAGAAAGTGTGAGAAACAATGGGTAAGTGTGCAGCCTTTTGCTCAAGGGTTATTCCTGCACAAACACCATTCATATGAACATGGCTAACAAAGGAGCAGAGAGATCACAGACATATTTTGCAATCTGATCACCCCCCAAGCAATTGGAAATTACGGTTACAGACCACAATCTGTAAACTTAGTTTCTAGTTTTATGTGCACGCATGTACACATGCACACACATGCACACACACACAACCATTTGTATTCCATACAGAAATGTCACAATGCTGCTTTACTGGCTGAGGGAGCCAGCGTTTTGTCTGCAGACAGCTTTCCAGGTCTAGGCGAACCAAAGCAGTGCACGGAAACACCATTTACCTTCCCGCTGGAGCAGTACCTATTTATCTACTTGCACTTTGACGTGCTTTCGAACTGCTATGTTGGCAGGAGCAGGGACCGGGAAACGGGAGTTCACTCCGTTGTGGGGATTCGAACCACCGACCTTCTGATCGGCAAGCCCTAGGCTCATGCACATCAAACAAAGCATTTAAGGTAATTAAAGGCACCGACCACCTTCTAATGAAGGTCAAAAGGTTATACGCGAATGCCGCAGAGCTTTTTCTGCTATACAATCTCACCAAAAAAGAAGCCTAACGGAGGTCCCAACACAAGCTTTCCATGCTGCTAAGTTCAATAAAGAGAAAGGGGAGAAGGGAGAGAGACTTGTAACAGGAGGCCATTAAGAGCCTTCATTATTTCCAGTGCTGTGCTCTTCTTGTTGTGTTTTACGGCCCAGTTTCCAGACTGGGCTAAAATTAAAAGCAAGTCAACTTTGAACCTCTATGTGACCTTTTTGTTTTACTCGAGGCGTATATGAATCTAGCCGTGCCGGGGTTCACACTTCACTGCTTGTAACGCAGCATGAAGATAAAGAGAGAGATGATATTTCAGGGGACAGGGATGAAAACAATATGCCCGGCAGGGCATGTTCTCTATTTACACACAAGGGGGACTCGGCTAGACTGGTAAAGAAAAAGCGATTTATGTGCGTTGTGTGTACAATATAACATTGTGCCACCAGGTGGCGATGTGGAGTCCCGTTTTCCCCTACCTGTTTTCCCTGTTTAAATTGACAACGCTTTAAACCGAAACGCTCCTTTGAGGTCTCTAGATCCAGGCAGGGCTTGAGGGAGCGGAAGAAAGCATCTGTAAATTCTCTCTATCAATGCTTGTATTAGATTTATGAAAAGCCATAGCTTTTTCTTTTTTCTTTAATTCCTTCTTAGCTATCTCCCATTAGTTTCAACGGTAGCAATTAAGTGAAAACACAACACACGGTAACTAAATAGGACTGAACGTGCTTTTCTTAGCAGGGGGTAACAAATAAGGCAATTACACCATTTTAGGAGACTGGAAACCGGAGTGCAGTTTCAAAGATTTAGGGAATTAATCTGGTGCTGGTAAGACTTAATTGGAGCATCCTGTTCCGTTGTGGGCATAAAAAATTCAGCAAGGATGATGGAAACTTGGGAAAGGTTTAGAGAGGAGCTACGAAAATGACGAAGGGCAGTTTTTTAAGAGCTAAAAGGAATGGTGCATTTCAGCCAGAGAAAGAATGGTTAAGAAGGGTGACTATGTTGCTATTTTACAAGTATTTATAAGATCATACAACTGAGGAGTGGGTATAATTGCTTACTTTATCCATTGCCTATAGGACAGACAAAGACATCTGCTGTAGACATAAGGAAATACTTTAAGTGTAAGAGGTTTGGTTCTCAAACTTAATCCGTTCCGGAAGTCTGTTCCAAAACCAAAGCGTTCCAAAACCAAAGCACACTTTCCCATAGAAAGTAACGCAAAATGGATTAATCCAACCCCTAAAACAGCTGGAAGAGACTCTTGAGAGTCCCATGGACTGCAAGAAGATTAAACCTCTCCATTCTGGAGGAAATCAGCCCTGAGTGCTCACTGGAAGCACAGATCCTGAAGCTGAGGCTCCAATACTTTGGCCACCTCATGAGAAGAGAAGACTCCCTGGAAAAGACCCTGGTGTTGGGAAAGATGGAGGGCACAAGGAGAAGGAGACGACAGAGGACGAGATGGCTGGACAGTGTTCTCGAAGCTACCAACATGAGTTTGACAAAACTGCGGGAGGCAGTGGAAGACAGGAGTGTCTGGCGTGCTCTGGTCCATGGGGTTACGGACAGGTAGATCTATCAGGGATGTTTATGGTGCAGAACTGCCTTCCTTGGCACTAGGATGGCAATGTTTCCTACTTTACAAAGGGCAGTCCTCTACAGTGGTACCTTGGTTCTCAAACTTAATCCGTCCTGGAAGTCCATTCTAAAACCAAAGCATTCCAAAACCAAAGCGTGCTTTCCCATAGAAAGTAACGCAAAATGGATTAATCCAACCCCTAAAACAGAAATTTAACATGAATTTTACCATCTAACGAAACCAGTGCTCCATAAAATGAAAGCAATAAACAATGTACTGCAGTCATACAATCAATCCATCAGTAGCTGAACTGGGTTCCACACAGTCACAAAAGCAAAACGAAAAAGCCGCAAAAACAAAAATGCAGACCTCAGTGCAACACTCAAAATTGAAGTGTGGCACTCAAATCGGAGCACGTTCGGCTTCTGAAAAAAGTTTGAAAACTGGAACACTTATTTCCGGGTTTGCAGTGTTTGGGTTCCAAGTTGTTTGAGTACCAAGGCGTTTGAGAACCAAGGTACCACTGTATTTAAAGGACTGCCTTTCTCAAGTCTGGTTTAATGACAAATAAACATAAGGAAGGGAACAGCAGGGAAGTCTGGAGTTGATTTTGAAAAGCGCCACAATACAATAAATAAGATCCGATTTTGAAATGCTCTTACAACACCTGAGCAGATACTAAGTAATACCCCCAGCTCGAAAAAGGGGAAAAGGAGCGAAGAGATGTCCCTCCCTTCATCTACCTTATGACAATCACCTCCAGGAATAACTTCCAGAATATGCACCAAGGGCCCTTCGTTCCTGTTAATGCCTCCTACAACGTTCAAGCCAAGGCCTGTTCCCTTGGAAACAGTGATGATCTGAAACACGCTGTCACTAGGCAAGAAGAGAAAACAAAGTTAGCTTTCAAAGGTCAGCGGCTGGAACACCAGGATCAGCCTGAAGCAGACATCTCCTGTTGTTTTCTCCTAAGGATGCTATGGCATCAAGGTTGCTCCAAGATGCTTACATCTTAATTGGGGGAACTGCCTTCGGTGTAAAAGATGCAGCTACAGGTGGCTGTTTGTGTAACCAGAGGTTGAATCAAGCACTGCTTTGCGGACGGGAACCTTCGGAGCAGAGCTTTATGTAATCCTGCTCTCATAAAAGACAAATCTGCTTCAGTGGGCCCAGAAGGAATCCCTATACAATCTGCCTTTGATAACAAAGCAGTCAAAGGAAGATACCTTGGCAGGGTGGATAAAAATCAATGATTTTTTAAAAATAATTTTAAAAATTGATATTTTTTCATTTAATTAGATTTTATTTAAATTGGATTTTTTAAAAAATTTAAATTAGATTTTTAAAACAAAATGCTTTTGGAGGAAAAATCTTTCTAAAGATAGTTTTAAGTTACATTATAGCCCAAAGGCTATCAGGAAATAAGGATCTGTTTTAAGTTTTTCATGTGTGCTAAAACTCAGCCTAAGTTGTTGGGTTGTTTTTTTTTAAAAAAAGGGTAACCACATCAGTGAACAAATATGGATACATATGCTATAATGCTATTGTTTCAGTTAAATAAATTGTTTAAATTGTTATTAAGGAGATGATTATTTTTCTCCTTCCAATAAGCTAGCAAGGGCTGATGGGAATTGGAGTCCACAGCACCTGGAGCACACAAACATGGCAGAAGGCTGCTGCAGGTATTCACATTTACAGTAAAAACCACCAGTGCTAGACCAGACTGGGCGAAACGGATGCCCACGCCTGATGAATTCCACAGCCAACTGGCTTTCCGAGCAGATTTGCAGAGAAACAGAACATGAAATAAATGAATGCGTCAGAATTCATACAAGTTCTGCTTTGATTGCTTCCATTCGCTTTTGGCAGCTCAGGGTGGGTAAGACGGCTTCTGGAACGCTAACACTGTCATGCTTTCAATAGGTATTTCCCACAAATTCTGGGAGCAGGGGGACGGAGAAGCAATCTGCAAATGATTTCAAACATTACTTTGGGGTGGCTTGAAGAGAAGTCGCCGTCAGGGGCTTTCCGTGGTGGTTTGCAATGATGTCGCTTGGATACAGCAGCTGTGGGCTTAGTGACCTCGAAGACGATCCCAAAGAGAGGCTGTCAGCAGGTTTACCTTAGAAGGAGAGAGAAAGGCAAAAGAACATGCAGTGGTACCTTGGTTCTCAAACGCCTTGGTTCTCAAATGCTGAAAACCTGGGGGTTGTTGGCTATTGTTTCTGGGGTGCCTGCACCAATCAGAAGCTGCGCCTTGGTTTTCGAACATTTCGGAAGTCAAACGGACTTCCGGAACGGATTAAGTTTGGCGCTTTTGTTTTTACTTTTTATTTTGCGTTTTTGTTTTTGAGGCTTTTTCGGTTAATTTGTTTTTGTGACTGTGCGGAACCCTATTCAGCTACTGACTGATTGATTGTGTGACTGCGGAAACGGATAAAAGCCCCCTATCCAAACAATGACCATCATCGGTGAAGGTAAGAAAAAAAATTAAATTAAATTTTTATCATCTACAATACTCTCTTACAGTGGTACCTCTAGTTAGACTTGATCCGTTCCGGGGTGCTCTTCGCACCCCGAAAAGTCTTCAACTAGAGTGCCGCTTCTGCGCATGCGCACGGTGCGAAAGAGCAATTCTACACAAGCGCAAGATGCACAGAACACTTCTGTGCATGCGCAAGACATGCAGAGTGCTTCTGTGCAGGCGCGCGGGGTGAAACCCGGAAGTATACACTTCTGGGTTCGCCGCGTTCATATCCTGGAAAAATGCAACCGGAGACTGATGTAACAAGAGGTACGACTGTATTTGTTTTATAGTGCAGTACATTATTATTGCTTTCATTCTATGGATCCATGGTCTCATTAGATAGTAAAATTCATGTTAAATTGCTGTTTTGGAGGTTGTTTTTAAAAGTATGGAGCGGATTAATCTGTTTTGCATTACTGTCTGTGGAATAGCGCGCCTTGGTTTTGGAACACTTTGGTTCCAAATCCGTAACGGATTAAGTTTCAGAACCAAGGTACCACTGTATATCCTCAGTTACCTTCTGGAAACCTCGAATCTGCAATTTGCAACACAGATGATCAAAACTGATGAAAGAGGAACCATACAGGTTTCTTGGGGCCGGACTAGTACTGAGCAGTTGGCTTGCTGGTGTTTACCTCCATTTGCTGTTCATAAGGCTAATACAAGGTGTGACCGGAAAGTTCGGTGAATGGTCACAGAAATTGGACAGTGAGAAATATTCGAACATACATACCTTACAGGCCTTCAAAGTAGGCCCCCTCTGGGACAATGCACCGTTGACAAAATTCATAGAACTGTTGTAAACCTCTGGAGAAGTCCTCTTTTCGTCCTGCTTTCAGTTCCCTTGTCACAGCAGCTTGGACGTGTGAAATGTTGGGAAATCTGTGCCCTTTCAGTGCAGATTTCAGTTTTGGAAAAAGAAAGAAATCTGGTGGGGCCAGATCGGGAGAATATGGAGGGTGGGACAACTCAGTAACCTCAGTAAGCATTTCACGCGGAATATGCAATTCTTCCGCCATCATTCTGACGGACAAACGCCAATCCCACATCAATAACTCATGAACTCTGTCGACGTTCTGCTCATTGACGGCCTGCCAGACTGAGGGTTATCTTCTATGGCTTGCCACCCTTCTCGGAAACGCTCAAACCACTCATACGCTGTCTTTGGAGTTACGGCTTCATCTCCGTACACAACAGTGCGCATTTCGTGGGATTCCGATGCCGACTGTATGTCTGAATATTTCTCGCTGTCAGATTTCTGTGACCATTCACCGAACATTCCAGTCACACCTTGTATTTAGTGGCAATTGCCTTGTATAGTAACTACTCATGCAGCTCAGAGTGTTCCCAAATTACAGTGGTACCTCAGGTTACATACGCTTCAGGTTACAGACTCCGCTAACCCAGAAATAGTGCTTCAGGTTAAGAACTTTGATCAGGATGAGAACAGAAATCGTGCTCCGGCGGCAGCAGGAGGCCCCATTAGCTAAAGTGGTGCTTCAGGTTAAGAACAGTTTCAGGTTAAGAACAGACCTCCAGAATGAATTAAGTACTTAACCCGAGGTACCACTGTACAAGCAAGGGACTTTATGCTGTTACAAACCAATGAGGACCAAGACACTGCTTTGTAATGTGTGAAATGAGCCCCTAGGGGGCATTGCCACACTTCTCTCTTGCTCAACTGATTTTCAAGGAAGGATTGATTGAACAGAGGTGTCTATTCTGTCCATCAAACATCAAGCCACACGTAAAATCTGGGTTAAGGGTCTACCGTCCAATTCATGCAAGCGTTCTTACCAACCTGAAATATTAATGGAGGCCACTAGGCCACCAAACATATTCTACGCTGCACAAAGAAATATATATAACCAGCAGCTCACCAGCTAGGAGTTGTGTCGGGGAATTCCTCACAGAGTCTGTGTTGCTATGCAAGCTGAACTTCTCCATCAGGTTCAGAAATTCTACCCTGGGAACAAAGAGGATGAAGAGATGTTTTATATATCGATGTCACTTCTGAACGTCTCGTTCCAAGGCTTTTCAAGGAAATGGCACCGAGGATTGCATCTAACAAAGTTGTTGCGTTTCGAGGTCCCCAAGCCACACCCCAATAATTCACACATCAAACATCAATTTTGGTTTGGGCTTTTGGCACGATTTTGGCCACAACTTTATTTAAATACACACAAGTGAGTGGTTGCTTAGGCATTGGTTCCGACTATCTGTCCTTGCCCAGGGGCAGAACTTACTTCCAGATTCCAGCGGAAGCCAGCGAGGGAAACAATTTTGGGGAGAAAATGAAGCTGGGCCTCAGTCCCTCACTTCTCACCCTCATGCTCCTGCTGGCTTGCACGGCCCAAGTCCGATGCCAGGGACAAGGACGAAAAGAATGGCAAGCCCCTGGATTCCTTTAACGGAATTCCCTTTCCGCACCAACATTGGAGGGGTAGGCACTTACCCCTCCACCAACCAATTTGAACCAATGCCTAACCACCAACCTTACAAGTTGTGAAACTTAGTTGGTCTCTAAGGTGCTACTGGACAATTTATTTATTTATTTATTTAATCAATTTCTACTGCGTCAGACCAACGCGGCTACCCATCTACAATTCTACGATTCTTTAAATTCAAGAACAAATGATACAAGAATCAATGGCCCCAGTTCAAGCTGGAGTTCCATTTCAAATATGGTTAAGATGCACCACTTGCAAAAGTACAACTGAGCACATTATTATTATTATTATTATTATTATTATTATTATTATATATACTTTCTTATACCCAGAGGTCTCAGGGCGGTTCATAGAATAAAATCAAAATATAAAACCATAAAATATATAATCAAAATAAAAACAACCCATAACCCACCCCCACAAAACACATTTTAAAAGGGCATAGGATCATTATGTTTGCTGACTGGGAAAGGTTATGGACCACCGGTGTAAAGTTTACGGCATGTAATGCCTTGAAAGAAAATATTATGAAAATGATATATAGGTGGTACATGACCCCAGTCAAGCTTGCAAAAATATACCACTTGCATGATAATAAATCTTGGAAATGTAAGGAGACTGAAGGAACATTCTTTCACCTTTGGTGGACCTGTCCGAGAGTGAAGGCCTTCTGGGAAATGATCTATAATGAGTTAAAAAAGGTATTTAAGTATACCTTCCCAAAGAAACCAGAGGCCTTCCTTTTAGGCATTGTCGACCAGAAGGTGTTAAAGAAGGACAGAATTTTTTTATGTATGCAACAACAGCAGCAAGAATACTTATTGCAAAATATTGGAAGACACAAGATTTGCCCACACTGGAAGAATGGCAAACGCAACTGATAGACTACATTGAGCTGGCCGAGATGACTGGCAGAATTCGAGACCTGGGAAAAGAGGTGTCGGAAGAGGACTGGAAGAAGTTTAAAGACTATTTACAAAAATTTTATAAATTGTATGAATGTTAAGAAAGTGCATGAAAGGAAAGAATATGGCATCAGCAGCTTAGATGAGAAATATATGAGAATAAGTGGAATGATAAAGATGAGATTTGAAGTAATGTTATGCCTAAACTAAGCAGTTAAATATTCGATGGAAACATTTAAAATTAGAGGCATAATGTATGAGAACTAGAACATAAGAACTGAAATAAGGTAATAAATTGCGGTTTATAATTTTTTTACGGAGAACGCAGGAAAAGGAGACGTGAGGAAGTCCAGATAGTTATGGAAAAATGTATGAAAGGTTGTGATTTTCTTTTCTTTGTTATATTTTATGTTTTATATCTTTGTCTATCTATGTCTTCTTTGTTTGTTTCTTAGTGGTGATGGTGTTTCATATGTTTGGTGGTTTTCTTTTGTTAAAAAATTGCAATAAAATATTTTATAAAATAAATAAATAAAAGGGCATAGGATCCTCACAACATTTAAAGTAAGACAATAAACAAACCTGGACAAGAGCCACTCATTGGAAAGACCAGGATAACAGTAATGTTTGCACATCCTTGTATGAACGCAAACAAGAAAAAATATAATCTACAGATAGGGCTGCTACTGTGCAATGTCAGATACCCCTCAAATCCGAAAACCATGAGCATAGCCTGGAGCTCATCTTATGTGAAGTTTAAAGGATGTGTATTGCAAGGGTTTTGCAATTAAAAAAACAACACTGCACTTAGATAGGGACATCAATAAGGTGAAAATGATGTACATGGGGGGGGGGGACCAAGACAGACTGGGCTCTTTAATGTGACCCGCTGGGCCTAGTTCCAATTGGGAGCACATCTGTACTACAAAAACGTTTTTCTTTTGCAAACAGGCTTGGATTCCACCCACTGGGTTGGACGGGGGCGGGGCGGGTTTCAGGACATGGCCCACAAGTCAAATCCAGTCCCTCACACCTGTCTTACACAATCTTTCCTAAATGCCTACTTCTTTGGGAATTGGCAGTCTTGGCTGGGAAGCCGTTTCCATAACACTGGAGCCACTACCATTAAGTCTCTGTCCTGTTCTTGCGCCTGACTTTCATGAGAATAAAACATGGGTCAGCAAACTAAGGTATGCAGTCCGGATCAGGTCCAATTGCCCTCTGGATCCGGCCTGCAGATGGTCCTGGAATCGCTGCTTGGATTGGCTTGATCGTTCAGGCTGCGCCATTTTTTTTGGCAAAAAAATTCGGGCGCCATTCCCCCCCCCTCCACAGCAGCGCCTCCTCTCTCCTGGCTTCTCCCCACCCTGCGGAGGAAGGGAGCTGGGCTTTGATTGGTGCCAGCCAACCCAAAGCCTCGCCGCATGCATGCTGAGGCGTGGCCCAGACTCGCCACCCGCCCACTGGCCTCTCCGTCCTTGGCGGCACTGTGGGTGTTATGTACTGAAGTTCTCACCCTGGGCCAGCAGGGGGATACTGTAGATAGTTATGCAAATGAAGGATCGAAAGTGACGTTCAGTGATTGGATAGTTTGTATGCAAATGAAGGATCGAAAGTGACGTTCAGTGATTGGCTAGTTACAGAATATGGCTACTGTTGCATTCTAGTGGAGCTCTATATAAGCAGGCTGACTGAGCTCCTCAGTTCAGTTCTGTTCCAGCTTACAAATAAAGAGCTGCTTTGGAAGAATTGCTGTGTCGTCCGATATGTTCGCCCACAACTTAACAGTGGGCATCATGACGGGTGCTTCGTGGGGCTTCGGCTGGAGCTTGGCATGCCTGCTGGCCCCGCGCCTGGTGCCCAGAAAAGCTGGCCCGGAAAGGAGAGGCACCGCCACCACCGCCGGCTCCCAACCGCAGGCAGAGCGGCGGAGGAGGTAGGAAAGCAGGGGGAGGGGGTGGGGGAGATAGGGGAAGAGAGAGAAGCCCCCCACCGTGTGTGCACACGTGGCACAGTCCGGCCCACCACAAGGTCTGAGGGGCAGTGAACCAGCCCCCTCCTTAAAAAGTTTGCTGACCCCTGGTATAAAAGGAAACTGAGCAGAACTCAGGGAGGGCAAGAGAGTGGAGCCCTCCAAGACATGCTGTACCTAGGTCATATAAAGCTTTGCAGGTGTGGATTAAAAGCAGGGCCAGCCCTAACATCAGGCGGATTGAGGCGGATGACTCAGGGGGCTGGGGCTGGAGTGGAGAACATCAGCAAGATATGGGTGGAAAGAGCTATGTCTGCTATAGAGCCTGCCCAGCACCTCCCTGAGCTAGCTAGATGCCTTCAGGTGTAGAATCATAGAATCATAGAATCATAGAATCATAGAGTTGGAAGAGACCACAAGGGCCATCGAGTCCAACCCCCTGCCAAGCAGGAAACACCATCAGAGCACTCCTGACATATGGTTGTCAAGCCTCTGCTTAAAGACCTCCAAAGAAGGAGACTCCACCACACTCCTTGGCAGCAAATTCCACTGTCGAACAGCTCTTACTGTCAGGAAGTTCTTCCTAATGTTTAGGTGGAATCTTCTTTCTTGTAGTTTGGATCCATTGCTCCGTGTCCGCTTCTCTGGAGCAGCAGAAAACAACCTTTCTCCCTCCTCTATGTGACATCCCTTTATATATTTGAACATGGCTATCATATCACCCCTTAACCTCCTCTTCTCCAGGCTAAACATGCCCAGCTCCCTTAGCCGTTCCTCATAAGGCATCGTTTCCAGGCCTTTGACCATTTTGGTTGCCCTCCTCTGGACACGTTCCAGTTTGTCAGTGTCCTTCTTGAATTGTGGTGCCCAGAACTGGACACAGTACTCCAGGTGAGGTCTGACCAGAGCAGAATACAGTGGCACTATTACTTCACTTGATCTAGATGCTATACTCCTATTGATGCAGCCTAGAATTGCATTGGCTTTTTTAGCTGCCGCGTCACACTGTTGGCTCATGTCAAGTTTGTGGTCAACCAAGACTCCTAGATCCTTTTCACATGTACTGCTCTCAAGCCAGGTGTCCCCCATTTTGTATTTGTGCCTCTCATTTTTTTTGCCCAAGTGCAATACTTTACATTTCTCCCTGTTAAAATTCATCTTGTTTGTTTTTGCCCAGTTCTCTAAACTGTCAAGGTCGTTTTGAAGTGTGATCCTGTCCTCTGGGGTGTTTGCCACCCCTCCCAGTTTGGTGTCATCTGCAAATTTGATCAGGATGCCCTAGAGGAGGACCAGTGTTAGAAACTCAAGATATATAAACTAGGTGCCAATGGCTCCTTAAACCAGGGTTACAGTCACCAAAATGAAATGCCTAATTGCCATTTGGGGGGCTAGACGGCTCGAAAGCCGCATTTGACAATACGACTTCTTGGTTCCTGAAATTCATTCTGACTGTGCAGATAAAATATTAAGGATAGAATTCTACAGGATGTGTTGCTAGGGGGTGAAAACAGTCACAATCCAAGGTGTTATGTACTGAAGTTCTCACCCTGGGCCAGCAGGGGGATACTGTAGATAGTTATGCAAATGAAGGATCGAAAGTGACGTTCAGTGATTGGATAGTTTGTATGCAAATGAAGGA